TTTGTAGATATTTACTTAAAGATGTTTCATGCTTAATATCTAAACTCTAGCTATTTGGGTTTTTTTTTAAAAGAATATTTTTTAAGTTTTTGCTATCACACTTATAAGGAAAATCAATGACCCCCCCCCCGGGCGGGGCCAGTTTTGACCCCCGGGGCTTTTATTTGAACATACTTGGTAGACACCCATTAGAACATGTTTCATACTAAATATCTTAGCTCTAGCTCTTTGAGTTCTTTAAAAGAAGATTTTTTAAGTTTTTGGGGTGGGGCCAATTTTGACCCCAGGGCTTTTATTTGAACAAACTTGGTAGACACTCATTAGAAGATGTTTCATGCTAAATATCTTAGCTCTAGCTCTTTGGGTTCTTTAAAAGAAGATCTTTTAAGTTTTTACAATATGCATATAGGGAAAATCTATGACCCCCTGGGGCGGGGTCAATTTTGACCCCAGGGCTTTTATTTGAACAAACTTGGTAGACATTCACTAGAAGATGTTTCATGCCAAATATCTAAGCTCTAGCTCTTATGGTTCATTTAAAGAAATTTTTTAAGTTTTTACTATATGCATATAGGGAAAATCAATGACCCTCCGGGGCGGGGCCAATTTTAACCCCAGGGCTTTTATTTGAACAAACTTGGTAGACACTCACTAGAAGATGTTTCATGCTTAATATCTTAGCTCTAGCTCTTACGGTTCTTTAAAAGAAGATTTTTTAAGTTTTTACTATATGCATATAGGGAAAATCAATGACCCCCGGGGCGGGGTCAATTTTGACCCCAAGGCTTTTATTTGAACAAACTTGGTAGACACTCACTAGAAGATGTTTCATGCCAAATATCTAAGCTCTAACTCTTACGGTTCTTTAAAAGAAGATTTTTTAAGTTTTTACTATATGCATATAGGGAAAATCAATGACCCCCGGGGCGGGGCCAATTTTGACCCAGGGCTTTTATTTGAACAAACTTGGTAGACACTCACTAGAAGATGTTTCATGCCAAATATCTTAGCTCTAGCTCTTTGGATTCTTTAAAAGAAGATTTTTTAAGTTTTTACTATATGCATATAGGGAAAATCAATGACCCCCTGGGGCGGGGCCAATTTTGACCCCAGGGCTTTTATTTGAACAAACTTGGTAGACACTCACTAGAAGATGTTTCATGCCAAATATCTAAGCTCTAGCTCTTAGGGTTGTTTAAAAGAAGATATTTAAAGTTTTTTCTTTCGGTTGCCATGGCAACCAGAGTTCTGCATGGAATTAAATTCTTTGAACAATTTTTAAAGGTGACCACCAAAGGAACATTCCTGTGAAGTTTGGATGAAATTGGCTCAGTGGTTTATGAGAAGATGTCATTTAAAGCAAAAGTTTACGGACGGACGACGGACGGACGGACGCCGGACGAAAAGTGATCACAAAAGCTCACCCTGTCACTTTGTGACAGGTGAGCTAACAAACTAAGCAAGTTTAGCAACATAGATTAATCACTTTGAGTACGTTCCTAGAAATAACAAGTGGCACTGGTGAACTGTGATAAATAAGGAAAACATGGTTGTGTCTTGTGTAAGGGTTGAACCAATAATCTTTCCGTACTGCGGCTGACACCTTAAACCACTTAGCCACTGCACCTAACAGTGAATCCAATGAATAGACTTTTATGGATAATGAACAAATTGTTCATTATCCATAAAAGTGTATTCATTGGATTCACTGTTAGGTGCAGTGGCTAATTACAAATCATATCAACAGAGATGTCAATATCACATTTCGTATTAAAACCTATTTCTTTCAAATTTCCCCTATTTTTTTTGTTCACATATTGAAGAATTACTTACTTAGATATTTTCTTCTAATGATAAAAGAAACTCACAGCATTGGCAATAGAAAATATCTAAACCGATTCATTTCAGAATAAATTTCAAAATAATAAATAATATAATCATAAAAAAACCTTTAAACTGCTTATTTGAATACTTTTTCTAATTTAATATTTAAAATTCAAATAAATGAAGCACATTTTAATTGTCCATCCTGAAATTGTACTAAACTTATGTCCATTATTTCAGACCAACAAGCTGGCAATCAAAAACAGCTAACCAGCCACAACCTAACTGGACTGCTTCATTCAATATACCGCATGCCATGTGAACATTTTACATTAAGTTACCAGGAAAGCACCTGATCACACTAATAAAGTTATAAATTATTAAAATCCAACCTGTTCTTTAGCCAGTTTAGCCTGTTCTTGTATTTGTGACTGGAGTGATTCTACTTGTAAAGTCAATGCCTGGTTGTCATGGTGATATTTGTCGTCTGCTGACAAAGCTACAGAACTCTTTGTCGATCCCTGCGTCTGTTTCTTACCATCTTCTGAAATCAAAATTTTTGTCTGTTCATAGTTTTTCTCTCTCTCTCTCTCAACTTACTTTTAAACCGATTTTAGAAATATATTGCATTGTATAAACAACTTCAATTATAGAAAACAAATAAATCCATATACAACGCTCATTGGTTACACAATGTTTTTTTCTTGAAACAACAGGTTTATTAACCTCTTCTTAAATCATGACATTATTCTCCCAGGGAAGTTTAACCAACTTCTGTTTTCATTGCCTTTGTGCAATTAGAAAAGTGAAGGAGGGTTAATATATGGAGAAATTTTTATATGGAAGTCAAAATACGACTAATATACAAATGTTGCTACTTTTATGACAAATCACTTCACATGCAGCTCTGCTTTCTTCAGGGGATAAGTATTTAATATGCTCTAAAACCATTAATCAAACATTATAAAACTCATGTTTTCCCTTCTAAAGAATGAAACATTTGTTTCTAAAGCATGAAAAGAAATCTGATTATCATGATTTCTTTTTTGAAAAAGATGTGCAGTGAATGAGTAACTCACTTTTGTTTTGTAGATTGGCACTTTGTGGTCGTTTGGGCGCTTTCTGCTCCACGACAGCTTTAGCTGGTGGCTCCTTGTGGAAATATGTGATTTCATGATCTGGAGTGCCACTTAGTGCCAATAACTGCTGAATCTTTTTCTTGTCTTCAAGTTCACGAATCTAAAAATATTGATCTCATTAGTGTATCTTACAGTAGCATTTAACTGCTTGTATAGTAAAAATTGCTCCAGTCTGATACATTTTTATGTGTTTTCTCAATTGAAGTATCTAAACATGTGAAAAATGTTAATAAATTCTCTTTTTTTCACATACCATGCAGCTTTTATGACTCTGTAAAAATGGTATGGCACAGCCGTGCATATATTTTGACATGTCACTAACATTGAACATAGCATAAAAGTGTGCTAGCTTTAATGTTAGCATAACATTAAAGATGCTTCAATGAAAAAAGAGGCATGTGATAAAATTATTTAGAAATATTTTTGTAGGTTCATAAGTAAATTTATTGGACTAGTTGAATCAAATAATATTATGCTTGCCAGAGGCTTGCATAATTTGTATTCTAATTCTATTCACTAATTCAATTAATTCAGCACTGAACCTACACTCATTCAATATCCTCTATATATTTTCTTTATCCACTAATTAGGTAACTGTCAGCTGGTAAATGACTGTAAACTTGTGCAAAAATCCAACACAAGGAACATCGCAATGCGATGCAACCAGGTTTTCAGCAAAATATTTCACAGAAGCTTTGTCATGAAGGGGCATTTGTTTTTAATTGAACTTTTAGGAGGAATTATGGCTTTTTTAATATTCCTCAAACAAAAATGATTGAGAAATTTTATGTTGTCTATTTGCCTTTTTTTCCCAAATGTTTTAGAAAGGTAAACAGTACTTTATTTTTGCTTAATTTTTGCATTTTTGTGTCTCTTGTCATTTTCTTTTGTCAACAATATTGGCGTGTGGTGTTTTGTGCGATATCAAGAAAAGTATGTTCACAATTTTAAAAAAATACTTGAATGATGTCTTGGAAGAAACATGGGAATTTAGTGAGCGCCAGGGCACTTGATGACAAAGCTTCTGTGAAAGTTTGGTCAAAATCCATTGAGAAATGTAGGAGAAGTTGAGCACTGTAGAAATTGTTCACGATATATTCTGTATAAGGAAAAAATATACAAAGGGCCATAATTCGGTCAAATATTATCCAATCACAAAACCCCGACAATATGTGCCAGGCACTTGATAACAAAGCTTCTAAGAAAGTTTGGTCAAAATTCGTTGAGAAATGTATGAGGAGTTGCGCACAGAAGAAATTGTTCACTATATATTCTATATAAGGAAAAAAAACAAAGGGCCATAATTAGGTCAAATATATACCAATCGCAAAACCCTGGCAATATGTGTCAGGGCACTTGATGACAAAGCTTCTGAGAAAGTTTGGTCAAAATCCGTTGAGAAATGTAGGAGGAGTTGCGCACAGAAGAAATTGTTCACTATATATTTTATATAAGGAAAAAAACAAAGGGCCATAATTAGGTCAAATATTATCTAATCGCAAAACCCTGGCAATATGCGCCAGGGCACTTGATGACAAAGCTTCTGTGAAAGTTTGGTCAAAATCCGTTGAGAAATGTAGGAGGAGTTGCGCACAGAAGAAATTGTTCACTATATATTCTATATAAGGAAAAAAACAAAAGGGCCATAATTAGGTCAAATATATACCAATCGCAAAACCCTGGCAATATGTGTCAGGGCACTTGATGACAAAGTTTCTGAGAAAGTTTGGTCAAAATCCGTTGAGAAATGTAGGAGAAGTTGCGCACAGAAGAAATTGTTCACTATATATTTTATATAAGGAAAAAAAAACAAAGGGCCATAATTAGGTCAAATATTATCTAATCGCAAAAACCCCGACAATATGCGCCAGGGCACTTGATGACAAAGCTTCTGTGAAAGTTTGGTCAAAATCCGTTGAGAAATGTAGGAGGAGTTGCGCACAGAAGAAATTGTTTCCGCCCGCCCGCCCGCCCGTCCGTCCCGCCGCCCGCCGACATACCTCAATCTAATAACCAGTTTTTTCCTTCGGAAAACCTGGTTAAAAATAGACAGACTACCAAAGTCATAAAGTATTTTTCTTTGTGTTAGGTTTAAAGTAACACCAACATCGTAGTCATATGGTGATATTCCAGCTTTAACGGAGGAGGAAGACCTTAGAAACCTTCCTTGCAGGCATCAGCATGGCAATAAATATCAGTAAAAATACCTAACACAACTAAAACAATTATAATATAAACAAGAGCTGTCGGTAGGACAGCAACGCTCGACTATTCTTAGTGCTTGATAGTAAAAAAAAATGCTTGATACAATTACCTCCTCCTGTTTACAGGTCGGGGTAATGATGGTGAACAAGTGTGCAAAGTTTCAAAGCCATATGTCAATGGACTTTGAAAATATTTGAACTATTACAAAAACTTTAACGTAAATTCTAAGTCGAAAAAGGGGCATAATTCTGTCAAAATGCTTGATACAGTTACCTCCTCCTGTTTACAGGTCGGGGTCATGATGGTGAACAAGTGTGCAAAGTTTCAAAGCCATATGTCAATGGACTTTGAAAATATTTGAACTATTACAAAAACTTTAACGTAAATTCTAAGTCGAAAAAGGGGCATAATTCTGTCAAAATGCTTGATAGAGTTACCTCCTCCTGTCTACAGGTTGGGGTCATGATGGTGAACAAGTGTGCAAAGTTTCAAAGCCATATGTCAATGGACTTTGAAAATATTTGAACTATTACAAAACTTTAACGTAAATTCTAAGTTGAAAAAGGGGCATAATTCTGTCAAAATGCTTGATACAGTTACCTCCTCCTGTCTACAGGTTGGGGTCATGATGGTGAACAAGTGTGCAAAGTTTCAAAGCCATATGTCTATGGACTTAGAAAATATTTGAGGTATTACAAAAACTTTAACGTAAATTCTAAGTCGAAAAAGGGGCATAATTCTGTCAAAATGCTTGATACAGTTACCTCCTCCTGTCTACAGGTTGGGGTCATGATGGTGAACAAGTGTGCCAAGTTTCAAAGCCATATGTCAATGGACTTTGAAAATATTTAAACTATTACAAAAACTTTAACGTAAATTCTAAGTCGAAAAGGGGCATAATTCTGTCAAAATGCTTGATACAGTTACCTCCTCCTGTCTACAGGTAGGGGTCATGATGGTGAACAAGTGTGCCAAGTTTCAAAGCCATAATGTCAAATGGACTTTGAAAATATTTGAACTATTACAAAAACTTTAACATAAGTGGTTACGCCGACGCGGACACCAACGCCGACGCTCGGGTGACAACAAATAGCTCTACTTATTCTTATCGAATAGTCGAGCTGTTTACAGGTCGGGGTCATGATGGTGAACAAGTGTGCAAAGTTTCAAAGCCATATGTCAATGGACTTTGAAAATAATTTGAACTATTACAAAAACTTTAACGTAAATTCTAAGTCGAAAAAGGGGCATAATTCTGTCAAAATTATAGATACAGTTACCTCCTCCTGTCTACAGGTTGGGGTCATGATGGTGAACAAGTGTGCAAAGTTTCAAAGCCATATGTCAATGGACTTTGAAAATATTTGAACTATTACAAAAACTTTAACGTAAATTCTAAGTTGAAAAAGGGGCATAATTCTGTCAAAATGCTTGATACAGTTACCTCCTCCTGTCTACAGGTTGGGGTCATGATGGTGAACAAGTGTGCAAAGTTTCAAAGCCATATGTCAATGGACTTTGAAAATATTTGAACTATTACAAAAACTTTAATGTAAATTCTAAGTCGAAAAAGGGGCATAATTCTGTCAAAATGCTTGATACAGTTACCTCCTCCTGTCTACAGGTTGGGGTCATGATGGTGAACAAGTGTGCCAAGTTTCAAAGCCATATGTCAATGGACTTTGAAAATATTTAAACTATTACAAAAACTTTAACGTAAATTCTAAGTCGAAAAAAGGGCATAATTCTGTCAAAATGCTTGATACAGTTACCTCCTCCTGTCTACAGGTAGGAGTCATGATGGTGAAACAAGTGTGCCAAGTTTCAAAGCCATATGTCAATGGACTTTGAAAATATTTGAACTATTACAAAAACTTTAACATAAGTGGTTACGCCGAGCGGGACACCAACGCCGACGCTCGGGTGACAACAATAGCTCTACTTATTCTTATCGAATAGTCGAGCTAAAAATATGCAAACCTTTAATCTATCGTTTTTCAGCATATAATCGTAAGACATGTTCACGCTCCCTGGAACAGATATATCTGCATGTCACTGAGTGCTTTCTGCAGCTCTACAATCTCTTCTCACGCTGGCGCAACTCCCACTGCATTTTATGCTGTAATCATAAATATAAATACTATGTAATCAATTGTTACCATCACTTCTGAAATTGAAGCAGCATGCCTCCAGATTCATGCTAATTTTCATGAAAATTTTGAATATATATTTAAAAGTAAAAATTGTGAAGTGAACAAATAAAGTAATTTACACAATGCAAAAGGCACTTACTTTCCATGAAAATTACGAAAAGAGGTAAAAATATGCTAAAATACCACTTAATGATTTAGCAATGCAGTAGAAATATAGTAATAAATACTACAATATCAATTATTAATCACACAAAATATGCAAATTATTACTTGAATCTTGAATCTTTTTACTTTTCTTGAAATCTTAGTACATTTTTCTCAAGTTTGATTTTCTTGAAATATTTATGCTCATCTGGAGGTGTGCAGCTTTAAACATTTGTATAATAAATATAAAGAATTGTCTGAGTGAAAGACAAACATTTAATAATGTTGATACTGTTTTGTTTCAAGTTCTTTTAAGGTGGAAATTCATCATATTATAATCCATATGACAATAAAACCCGCCATTTTTTGCTGAATGAAAATTTGGCTCTTCATTCGGAAAATTTTGTAAGCAATTCCCTGTTTAAGAGAATGTTTCCCTTTTTGTTTGTTTTTGCCCCCAGTTAGAGCAGTTTTTTTTTTCACTTTTTGGGGAAGGGGGAACGGTCCCCCGGAGGGGGGAAAAAGCTAGGAGGGGGAATTTTATTTTTTTATTATTTTATGTTGTTTCTTTCGGGGGAAAAAGGGAGAACTCTTGCCAAAACCCAAATTTAAAAAGTCCTTTTTCTTAATATCGGATCTAAAATTGATCGCGATGTTAAAATTGTTGGGGCGCCGGGGGTAGCTCCCCCCACCCATGGGGAAGAAATTTAAAACCTTGCTAAAAGTAAAACTTTCATCATAAATAAAAAATTTTTTCGGGCAATTATTGCAAAAAAAAAAAAATATTTATTCAGGCAATTCTGGCTGCCTAAAACACAGGGACCCAGCACAGTGTTGGGATAGTGTAAAAAAGTAATTCTAAAACAAGATTGCATTTGTAAAAAATGCTATGCCACCGCATAAATACAACACTAAAATAGTAATGTAGGAACACATTTTTTTTGTTTTGACCCAAGGGCTTTAATTTGAATAATCGTGCTAAAGGTTCACTACACAATGTTTACTGCAAAATCTAGCCTTTGTCAATTCGAGAAGGTGATTTTTTAAAGTTTTTACTATATACATGTAAGGAAAACCTATGACCCTGGGGCAGGGCTAGTTTTGACACTAGAGGCAAAATTTGAACAACTTTGGTAGAGTACCTATAGATGATATCATATACCAAATATCAAAGCTCTAAGCCTTGTACCTTCAGACAATAAGTTTTTTTAATTTTTTTACTATATGTACATAGTGAAAATCAATGACCCCTGGGGGTGGGGCCAATTTTGACCCAGGGATATAATTTGTTCAATCTTGCTAGAGGTTCACTACACAATGTTTCACGCAAAATATCTAACCTCTAGCTTTTGTCAATTTAGAGAAGATGATTTTTTAAGTTTTTACTATATACATATGAGAAAAACCTATGACCCCCGGGGCAGGGCTAATTTTGACACTAGAGGCAAAATTTGAACAACTTTGGTAGAGTACCTATAGTTACTAACACATACCAAATATCAAACCTCTAAGCCTGGTACCTTCAGACAAGAAGGTATTTTAAGTTTTTACTATATGTACATATAGTGAAAATCAATGACCCCCGGGGCGGGGCCGATTTGGACCTCAGGGATATAATTTGAACAATCTTGGTAGAGATCTACCAGACAATGCCTTATGCAAAATATCTAAGCTCTAGGCCTTTTGGGTCTTTACAAGAAGATTTTTTAAATTTATTCTTATAATTCCTTCTGGTTGCCATGGCAACCAGAATTCTGCATTGAATGAAATTCTTTGAACAACTTTGTAAGGCCTTCACCCAAGGAACAATCCTGCCAAGTTTGGTTGAAATTGGACTAGTGGTTTTTCACAAGAAGATTTTTTAAGTTCACTATATAATCTATATAACACACACACACACACACAAACAAACACACAGGTGAATCGCTATATGCCACCGCATCGCAGATGCTGCGGTGGCATAAAAAATATATACCTTATATATAATATATAGTCTATATATTATATATAAGGTATATATTTTTTTTAGAATTACTTTTTTACACTATCCCAACACTGTGCTGGGTCCCTGTGGCCTAAAAGGGGGAAATTTACATGGGTGAAAGTTGGAAATTTTAAAAATCCTGAATTTAGCAGCTTTTCTTTAGTTTTACATAGGAAACAGGAGGCTTTCAGGAGATTGAAAATCCTGAACTTCAGGAATAATCATGAAAACTTTCACCCATGTATTTAGGCTTTGAGGGGGGGGGGGGAAACATACTATTTTGAGGGGGGAATGGGGCCGAATTTCGCCGAATATTTTGGTGAAAAAAAAACACTGTAGAGCCAAGCAAATCTGCAATATTGTCTGACAAGGTTCTTAACTTTTGGTTGCAAACAAATTCAATTTTGATATTCAAATCTTTTAAACACTTTGATCGTTCCAAATTTAAAACTGGGCAATTCATTACACAACTTCAACAGGTTAGAGGTCAATTTATAGTCTACTGCTTGGATTGTAAACCTGTTCTTCATAAGTGACTTTGTATTCTTCCAGCTTTGAAACAAGGCCCTCATGTTCCTCATCATACTCGGCTATCTTCTTTCTGTAATATTCTAACAACTCTCGTGACGGTCTCAGGTGACCTTCAAACAAAACCAAAGAGTTATTATTACATATAAGGCCATGAATGACAAAATACAGTAATCATAAAAAATAGTAGACAGTTCATATCTATTAGGCATGGCAACAAGTACTAATTCCTGTACTCGAGTATTCGGTCATTCTTTCTATCAAGTACTCCTATCAAGTACTTGGTTATTCTGAAAATGATTTTTTTTAGTTTAAAACATTTAGCCATAATCAATATATCTTCCATTTCTGTAATACCTATCACAGGAACAAAGATGGTATGTTATATATAAGAATGACAGTCAGCCATCCACTTTTGTTTTCTATTTTCTTCCACTGAATTTAATAGTATTAGATATGCAAGGAATGTACTTTGTAAAAATGACAAATATACAAAAATTCAAAACTAGAACTGGCATTATCTTGGCAATAACACTAAAATTACATATTTAACTTTTAAGTGATTTATGGTTCTTGGACAATTCACTTGTCCTCCTCATAATAATTTGACATAAAACAATTAAAAGTAACTACAAAATTGCATGTAATGATGTCTTTAATTACCTAATCTCTCATTAATGTTTGGTAATGGTTGATCTGCATCTGGTTCCCTATGACTTTTAGACCTAGATGAAGTATTCATTCTGTCCCCTTTACTTCTCCTTGGGGAATTGCTTGGAGAAGATTTTCTACTGCAACCAGGACTAAATAAAGTAAACACAAATTGATTTAAATTGTACAATTAGCTATAAAATTTTTGACATATAAACAGAACAGATTTGTATTCATATGTCTATATGTAAATTTATTGAAGTGTAAATGTTTCTTCAAATGCGCACTGCTTTCCAATTGAAGAATTGAAACACAGCATTGTAAAGCTCCGGCAATATTTGCCTGAATGCAAATTTGAGGAAGAAAAAAAATCTTCCAATAAGGGTACATATCAAATTGTTAAATTCATTCTAAACATGCTTTTACAAATTATACTCATGATTACAAGCAGACATGGGGTAATCGTAATCAGTAATTTAATTTAATTTAATCGATTACACTTTTTTGAGTAATCACAGTAATCGGTAATCATAATTTTTTTCCTGTAATTTAATCATAATTTAATCAATTACATGACCAATTAATCAGTAATCACAATGATTACATATATGATTACAATACCTGTTAAGCTAAAAAAAAATTGCTGAACAAACATACATATAAAGGTTAAAAAATTGTCTTAGGTAGTGTAGGTGAATTAAATGCAGTCACCCAGGTCAGATTTGATGACACCTGTGTTTTAATAAGGTGATGAAAAGATCACTGACAGATTGACCCAGTTACAATTATACCACTTAAATTTAGCTGTGAAATTATAACAATGGCCTGGATAGGTATATTATCACTTATTGAGAAGACTTTACAGGTTCAGTAAAGAGCAAGTATAAGCTGCAATTACTGACAAAAGTGAGATATTTACATTTTGGTATTGTTAAGTCCATGTAGAAGCAAAAAGTACAAAAAGATTTTCATCATAGCGAAAAGAAAGAAATACGCAAGCATGGCAGGAAATATGCCTGCTGTTTTTGTAGGAGGCAACACATGTACATACATGTATGTAGACTGAATTAATTACTGTAAAACTAAGCTGGATTATTTTTTTGTACATTTGTTGTATTGAAATGTTCAATAAAACGATAGTGTTGAACCATTGCATTTCTTAACTTATGTAAATGTAATCAGTAATCATAAATGTAATCTGATTACTCCTGTCAGTAATCAGTAATTTAATCAATTACAATGTCAAAATAAAGTAATCAGTAATTTAATTTAATCAAGCATTTTGACAAATAATCATAATTTAATCAATTACAATTGTCAAGTAATCGCCCCATGTCTGATTACAAGTGACAAGAAAGAGTCACAACTCGAAGTTTTTTAAATCAGAGATTCTTTCAGGTATATTGCTGTAAAGTATAGTTTAATGTTAAAGCTACTATCCCACACATTGTAGTTTGAGCATTTATGAATTAATTGTTATCAAAAGAAAAAAATCTAACCACAGGCTTGTACATTTATACAGAACTAGATGATTAATACATGTTTTGTCTGACGAAAAACAAAGATAGATCTAAGCAAAGCATCTGCAATCTTTATACTGTATTTTAAACCGTTTCACTGTTTTATTTTGTAAATACTGACTTAAATTATAAACACACCAGTAAACTGGTTGCAAGATGATCAGTTGGTGGCTGCCCGTAGAATTGTGCACTTGGTAAGTTGTTTATTCTGCAATTGATTGATGTACAATATATCATCAAGACATGGAAAATCAGGCAGTCTCCTGTTTAGACCCTATGTATTTTTTGGAGTAAAACTTGTAGATAATAAAGAAAACGGAATGAATCCTTGATAAGTTATATATAGTAATATACTCCTGGTTTAGACCCCCCGGATCTATTCCAGGATATAGCCTGAAGTCTCTATTTATCTATTTTCCATTAATGTCAAAATCCTCACGGGATGAAGACATGACTCTAGACTTGTCACTTAAGAGAAAGCTAAGAGATACAAGAGAATCCAGGAACCAGTCCCTAGCTCTTACTGAATAGACCCCTTGGTTCTTTTAAATGCCCAGTATATAGCACTGATACATGCGAGGATTACCTGGATTTCTCACCAGTACACCTCCTGTTAGGTTGGAAACACTGAAAGTATTTCTCAAAAAATCCCAAAGGTGTTACCCAGAATCAAACCCGGGACCACATGAGTGACAATCAGTGGTTTAACCAACTGAGCTATCACGCCACCTTGAGCTACTGTATCGCGCCAAGTTCTACCTGCATCAAGCTGTCCCACTTGCTACATATTAATGGGTGTGATAATAGTATCTGTTGCAAGTGAAACTATTAGGTCACAGTTATCTCATGGAAACTGCAAATTTTACTTGTATGCATATTTAATAAACTTTTATTTGTAAACAAAACATCGATATAACCTATGTCAATTTTATTTTTAGAACAGTTTTGTGAGGGAGAGTAGCTTTATTTCGCAAGTAACAGGAATATATTACCCTTTTGTTGATGAAACAAAAACTATTGTCAATTAAGTTAAATAAATGTCCAGGGTTCTAACAGTCCGAATTAAATACTTCAGCTTAAATTTGTTAAAACATGTTGAAACATATCACGACAAATTAAAATAATTTGATACCAATGCCATCTGAATATGCTGTATGATAACAATTAAAATAACGGATAAGCATTAAATATTTGCTATTTTTAAACACTTTTAGGGTTTGTATTGACAATAAACTAAAGAGGAAGCATACAAATCTTATTTTTTGTAATTTCTATTTACCTTGCCGACGCCATTTTGAATATTCCGCGAAAGTTTAAGCTATCTTTACGGTAGCCGGTTAATGACTGCTCAGGCTATACTGTACTAAATCAAGCTTAATTTAAGCAGCACGCAGTATGATAATTTTCATGAAAATTTTGGAAACGTATTTAAAAGAAAATAATGTGAGGTGCACAAATGAAGTAATTTACATATTGCAATTGGCACTTACAATCCACGAAAATTACCAAAAAGTGGTCAACACAAGCAAAAACAGCCCTAACTGCGTCAGTAACAAGCAGCTGGGCTTATATTTTAATATACGTACCTAGTAACAAGATACAAGAAACTTTATTTTAAGTCGGTTTACATATTACAAGAAACATTAGCTAATAAGCTATTTACCGACAATAACAAAGACATAAAACATATTTACTAACATATAACAGATCTGAAAAGTAAAAACATATAAAACTAGTAGCAACTTTAGGCATGAAATAAAAGTAGCAAGGTTAAGAAGAACTATACAATAAGATGACAAATTAAAGCAAAATATGATGACGTGCACAGTACATATTGTATTAAAGGTACTAACAGTTTAAAAGTAATAAATGACTGTAGTATAGAATCATGAGCTGACAATTTAAGTATGATATATACATGTAGCAATGTGAAATAAATAAATATAATTATAATAAAAATATAAAATTAATAAAATAGTAATAGTTATTAGTTAACATCTAGAATTTATACATAGTTGAAATTTACTGAAAATAAAAATAAATAAATAAATTGACTTACTTAAAAAAAGTACATAAATTGTTATGATAGAACTAAAACAACATGAAAAAGAAAAAAGATAAAGCACGTAAAGGGTAACAAACAAAGTTAACTAAAATTAAGTTGCATGCACAGCCTAATTGAAGGGAAAATAAGGAGTTTAAATTAGAACAAAACATACAAATCATACAGCAAAGATACAACCAGCATGAAAAACAGGGTTTAAAGGAAAATTAACATACAGCATATAATCAAAGCATCATAGCAAACTAAAAAGGGATACACAAAAACAAAGCAAACAAACAAACATGCAGTCTAAGCATTTTACTTAAATAGAAAACTAAGAAAAAAAAAACAACAGTAAAAACAACACATAGCAAATTTACAGACACATACAGCACATTTACAACCTGGGCCACTCCAGACCTGGATCAGTTTCCCAAACTCTTTGTAGTTTTCAACCTTGCGGATGTCATTAGGGAGACTGTTCCATATCTGGGCGCCTTCAAACCGAAAAGAATTTTTACCGTATGTTACTGTTTTGACCCTTGAAACATTTCCCCTTTTTTGATACCTAAAAGAATAATTGGAATTTTTAAATTGAATTAAATCATTTATATATGGTGGTGATTTTTCCATACAGGCATTTAAACACTTCTTTGGCTATAGTTTTAATTCTTGATAAATGTAAAGTAGGCATATTTACTTTTTTAATAGTGTGCCATATGAAGAATTAAAATCATTAATTACTATTCTTAGAACTCTATGCTGGAGTTTTTCAAGCTTTTCTGTGTTTGTTTTAGAGCAAAAATGCCAAACTAAGGGGCATTAGTTAAAATTAGATCTGATAAAAGAATTGTAAATAAGAATTAGACATTCTGAATTAAAAAAAATTTCTAATTCTTAAAAGCTCATTTAATTGATTGGCAGCTTTTTTTACAGATTCTGGTGACCTGTATATCAAAATAAGTAAAAAGTCTATGTCTACCCCAAGCAGTTTTACAAAATCTTCACATTTTATTGTTACATTATCAATTTGAAATTCTTTTAAGTGTTCATTTGTGATTTTCCCAACAGCTATGGCTTGAAACTTGTCAGGGTTAGCTTGCATTTTATTTATGTTAAACCAGTTAATAAGTATATTGCTTTCATTTTCTAATGTATTTTTCAGTATGTCTATTTTTAAGTTGGACAAGGCTAGAGTATTGTCATCTGCATAATTGTAGATGATGGACTTATCTATAAAGTGAAAATATATCATTCATGAAGATGTTGAAGATCAAAGGTCCAAGAATAGAGCCTAGAGGCTTAATTGTTTCAAGCCAAGTGCTATGACATTCTCCTATTTCAACTGTTTGTTTTCTGGTAGATAGATAGTTTGAAACTAGAGCACATGCATTTTCAGACAACCCATATATGCCTCTAACTTTTGGACTGTAAGATCATGTGGTAGATAGTCAAAAGCCTTGGACAGGTCCATTAGGATTGCTGCCACATCTAACGACATCTTCCAGCCCACAACCAGACGCAAAAGAGTTGTCTGACATCCGTATCCTGATCTGAAAGGGGCTAGATAATTATGAAATATTTTTTCAAAATGGTTGCTTAATTGTTCATTTATAATTTTCTCATTGATGGTAATATACTAACAGGTCTATGATTTTTCATAATAAAAAGATCGTCTTTCTTAAAAACTGGAGTGACTTGAGCCAGTTTTAAACTCTGGAAATAAATTTTTGTTGATCATATTATTAACTTTCTTGGATATAGGTTTACAAATTATGTTTGCTGAGCATTTCAGTATTCTGGATGATATATTATCATATCCTGTTGCTTTCTTTGGGTTTACTGATTTTAGATGTTTTTCAATTGACTTTGATGTTACAGTAGAGAAATTGAAAGTTTGTACATTGTTTCTTTAGTATTGTTTTGTTTAATTAATTTAATACTAGGATGTTCATTTTGAATAACAGCTAGTCTGATTATTTATCCCAATATTTTTCGCTATATTTACATAAAAGTCATTTAACATATCACATACTTTAGTTTGATCGGCTATCAGTGACTCATTTTCCTTAAGAATAATGTTACAAGAATTTTTCAAAATGGATTTTTGACTTAAATAAAAGGTTTGATTGTTGGCCAGAAATCTTTAGACTTTGGCTCCCCTCTACATCTTTCCATGAATTAGGTGGTAATAGATTCACGTTTTACTTTTGTTTTGAAGTTCCTGAGTTTTCTATACTTTTTCCAATTATTTTTGGTTTTATATTTCAGATATGTGTTATGTGCCTGTCTTGTTTGGTAGATTATTTTACTGTATTTAGAGTTCATGTAAGGTGGTGAAGACTTTTTAGGATATTTTTGTTTTATAGGAGTATGTTCGTCTAAAATTTCATTAAAAAGTTTATTATATGCCCAGTAGGTGTCATCAACATCATCAAAAGTAAATGCTACTTGGAAGGGTACTTTGTCTAGCTCAGTGTTAAAACATTTTCATCAAAGTTTTTGTAACTCCTGAAAGGTATATTCATTTTAGATACAGTATTAACCTGTTCTTTAAGAGTAGTAAATATCATACTATGGCAGTCACTTATTCTGCTAGTGATAACTGACGAATTTTACATAGCAAAGAGGAGGTGTTTGATAAAATTACATCAATAAGAGTTGTGTTATCTAAATTCTTAAAACATGTTGGTTTGTCAATTAGATTTACCATGTTGAAACTATCCATGATGTTTGTAGTGAGTTTACTTTTCATAGGATTTAGCATATCATAATTTAAGTCCCCAGTTATAATTACATGGCTAATGAATAATTTGTCTAATGTTTCAGATAGCCTTGACTAAAAAGGATGGTCAGATATTGAAGAAGGTCTATATATAAAAATAATTCCCCATTTCCTTTTTAACAAATTCAATTCAAAACATAAATTTTCCAGACCTTGATTTTAAAGTCTGTCTGGCGTTTTATGGGTAAATCAGTCCGTATTAGTGTCAGCGAGCCTCCACCATGGGCATCTCTATCACATTTGTGTAACTTGTATACAGGTTATCACTGAAAGAATGATCAATTTTAGTTTCAGAAATATATACAGAATATATCAGCAAGATTTTGATAAAAAATGGGTCTAATTTCCTGAAATTTATATCTAATACTATTTATATTAAGATGACCAATTATCGGTCTTTTCATATTTAAGTTTTTAAGGTTTTTAACATCATCAAATATGTCATACAGTAACGCATGCAGTAGAAATATGATGATAAAATACTGCAAAATCAATGTTAACCGCACATAACATATAAAATATAACTTGCATCTTGAATGTTTTTACCTTTCTTAAAAGTTTAGTGTATTTTTCTCAATCTTGATTTTTCTTGAAATATTTGGCTCAAAATAATCATCAATTAGTCTACACTATATATCTATATCGTCCGCTTTTTCCTCTTTATCTATATTGTCCGCGTTTTACCTATAGGTTTATATTGTCCACTTTAAAAGACGTCCGCGTTTTAGACAGGTCCCATCTGGAGGCCTGCAGCTTTAAATAAGTCAAATAATCGGGAAAACTTCTTTCATGGACTCGAGTAATTCTTTTAAACTTAAAGATTTAATAACTAAAGGAACAAGAATAAAATCGGACAAAAACAACAAACAAACAAATACAAAAAAACATAAGTGTCTAGCTAATATATTTTTATTTCTTAAAACGGGTACTGTTAAGGTGTTAGATATAATTATGTTTTTTTTCTCGAATATGTTTTCTTTATGATTTTCTTACTCCTAGGTTTTACGTTTCATTGTTTAAGGTATGATAATGGCCATTATCACACACCCGTGCCGATTTTGCGACTCCATAAAAACGTATTGCACGGTCGTGCATATATTTTGACGTGATGTCATTTGTGTTATACAAACATAGCGTTAAGACGTGCTAAATGTGAGCGTTTTACTATAGGCGCGTTAATGAAAATTTTTATCACTAAATTTATTGAACTTGTAAAATAAAATAATATCATGCTCGCCAAAGCTTGCATAATGTAATTTTATTCAAGTCGTTCAATAAATTCAGTATTAAACTTCAATATCCTCTACTTATAAAGAACTGAACAATTCTTTAGCTATCTCTAAATAATCTATAACATCACGGTTATAATAAAAAACGTTTTCATATTGATAAATGTTATGGAACAAATGATTACACTCAGCTAACAAACGACTGAAGCACAATTATTGTTTCTTCTCAAAACATCTGAAATATGTGTAAAAATGTTACCCTATCCCACCTATTTTCATCACTTGTTTGACCATTTTGTTGCTCAGAGAGTCTAATTAAAATATTTTTAAATTTACCCAATTGAAAGCGATTTTCAAAGTTAGCCTATTTTTTCAGAAGTATATTAGTTTATCTTGTAATATATTTAATACTTTTACCGAGTAGTTTTAATTTGATTACATTTGAAATATCAGGTATTAGTTAGACAATAAATACCTATAAAAATAATAATTTTCAGCAGTTTAAGATATTTATAAGGCTGACACTAAATGTATTTTTTTACATTTGACGAGGTGTGACCTTGACCTTGGCGATAGCAACCCAATAGCTGTGCTCTGCACATCGTCTCATGATGGTGATCACTTGTGCAAAGTTATTTCAAAATTTTTGCAGAGGTTTAAAAGTAATGGAGTAGACACGAAATGTTCTTTTCAATACTTGGCCTTTCAGTGTGACCTTGACATTGGGGTAGCAACCAAATTATTGCGCTCTGCGCATCGTCTCAAAATGGTGATCACTTGTGCCAAGTAATTTCAGAATATTTTCCGCGGTTTAATAGTTATGGAGCGGACACGAATTGTAAACTTTTTAAGTGTGACCTTGACCTTGGGAATGGCAACCCAATTATTGTGCTCAGCACACCGTCTCAAAGTGGCGATCACTTGTGCCAAGTTATTTAAAAAAATCAGCTGTTTTAATATGTTACAGACGGACAGACGGACGGACAGACGAACGGACGTTCTAACAGGAGAGTAATAATGTGGCTACTCTTCTGTTATCTCTATTGTTCTTTTTAGCCACACAAAAGAAAATAGCCACATAAAAGCATTACGGAATGAATGACATCAAAGAGAAAGAACAGTTACCTATTGTCCCTCTAGCCATATAATTACTGTCCTGTGAGTACCGAGGGACTGACGGAGCGACTGACAGACAGAGGCCATTCCTATAATCTCCTTCCGCATAGCGGATCCATTATATTGATATATACTGTACCGTGTACACCAAACTAAGTTAGGGTTCAGAGGTGTTTCATAAACTTTTCTTTTGTTTTGTAAACCTGGTTTGAAACTTAAAAATGTTTCAATTGTTGTCAAAAATCTGTAACTGGTTTTCCAAACCCACTAAACTGCCACACAGGCAGTTGTACGGTTTGATGTATACGAAATGTAGATGCAGTTCTGAAAGGAAATGGCGGCACACTTAGTCACTCGATTAGTGGATAAGATTAGTCTATGAATCACAATGATTATACTACATCAACAATGGTTGAAAAAGATCATGAGATGAAAATTTCTAAGAGACGGATGTTTTACATTTGCAGCACGTGCTTATAAATGCGTAAATGCGTAAAACGTATATGGACATAAAGACCAAGACATCACAAGTGCCATTGCTTATTTCTTTCAATCACAGAATCGGGAAAAAGCAACAAAAATAATTAAAATCCATGAATTATGACACACTTTAAGTGTTTGGATTTAACAACTTCTAGCTAAAGAGACATCAGCGAACAGATTTCATAGTACTGCTTGACCTGTTACTGTCGCACAACGTCAAAATAAAAGCTACATTTAAAGTTATGGAAGCCAGAACTAAACACCTTCCTGTGCACACTACTGTTTTTTTTTTAAAGTTTTTAAAATTTGAAGTTTACTTTATAATAGAATGTTTTAAAAGCGGATGTTTGAATGAATTAATGTTGATAGGACTGTATAGATACATGTTTGACATTCTGTACCTTTTGTATGCAATATGCATTGCAAATACATATACATTTTTCTCATTATTGTTCTTTGCTAACAATAGATATTAGTATGCTATACTAAATGCATGATTTTTTTTAAATTGTATATTAATTCTGTAATTTTATGGTACATGTACATATAACGTATAACATCAACAGAAAATCATAGATGTGTGACATAATCTACAAATATGTATAGAGACAGCAAGTATTGAAAATAAAATATGATGAATCATAATAAAGTTTCTGTCGTTGCTATTTATAAAATACACCAAGTTTTAGAACGCTAATTGAAGATATTATGTAATGAAATAACACTTGTACACTTGAGTATGTAGGTTGCTAAAATTTGATTACTGAAATTTACTTTTACATGTAATATACATATGTATTGTGTATTAAACATGTAAATTGCAACAAAAACCTGTTTAAACCGTTAAATCTGGAATTATAATGAGATAAGGACAGAAATAATCAAATAGTTGGTTTGTGATCAGTAGCTGAACTGCTTCATGGTTAGATAGCGGTAAGAAACTGGTTAAATAATGATAAGAAACCGGTTAGACTTTGATCAGAAAATGATAAGTCGGAATATGACAAAAAAGGACGTTGGATAAAAACTTTTTAAAAACTTCCATATCTGACTATTTTTTATATCAGAATCAGACTTGCGTTCATTGAACGCCGCCTTTCCTTGTTTTGAATCTTGAATCAGAGGTATACCGGGCAATGAGTGTTTGCTAGGGAAGTTCTAATATGATTGCAAACATTTTGTAAAACATGCATTTGTTGTAGCAATTGCAAACCCTCTAAACTAGATATGTCATAAAACATAAACCTTAAAATGAAACCGGTTCATGCACAACAATCGGACCCGTAATATATGAAACACATATTTTCCCCTTCCATTGTTAAACAATTCACCAACCATAATATTCTTTACCACCTCCATCATGATCTCAGGGGGAAAATGTCATGTGTTACGCAACTTGTTGTGTTAGTAAATGACCTGATGACTTCAGTATATGAGAAAAAATAAGTTGATTTGATTCTTTTAGATTTCAGTAAGGCTTTTGACAAGGTCAGTCATGAGAAAGTGCTGCTGAAAATTCGAATCTGAAGTCAAAACTTTAAGATGGGTCAAAAGTTTTCTAGATAACAGGCTGTAGTCTGTTGTGCTAAATGTAACTGCGAATGTAGGACAAAGCCACACACCTCAAAATTTTATAGAGTGGACAAAACCCCACATCTGAATTTAATAGAGTGGACAAAACCCCACACCTTCAATTTTATAGAGTGGACATAACCCCACACCTTCAATTTTATAGAGTGGACATAACCCCACATCTTTTATTTATTTGTTATAAAACCATACAATTCATAAGATTTTGATTGTGTTAGAAAAGAATAAAACAGAATATTTACTAAAGTTTGATATACATGTATTTACTTTAATTATTTTACATAGTGTCTTTGATCATGATATTTAATGGTATGTTATATTTTATTCCAATATACAATACAATATGATTAAATGTTGATAGACTATACAAATATTACAAACTGTTACAAAAATCAAAGGGTAAGCATTCAAATATTTGACGTATGGCGTTTTGTCCGTCTTCCGCTAACTGCTCTTACCCCATCCCAGTATTCTCAGGTGTCCCCCAAGACTCAGTTCTAGGACCTTTCCTGTTTCTCGCCTATATAAATGACCTCCCACAAAACATAAATTCCCAGGTCTGGTTGCTATCACCAGAGAAGAATATGTTACATCCCTCTCCCGAAAATCACGCCATGGACATTCCCTGTATTATAGGTTATTCACGTCAATTTCAGACTATTATTAATGACAATACATGTATACAATTGGAACCGCCTACCCCCTGTTCCACTCTCTACCCCAGAGCAGTTCAGTGCAGCCATAGCTTGCATTGAGCATGCCTCGCCCTAGTTTTCCAGCCCCTTGTTTTAACATTTTTAGGACATTTATTCTTTTATCCTCTTTTTAAACAACACTTTTTAAACTGTCTTGCGATTTTGACACGCAGACAAGTCTACGTCCCCGGGATGGGTTTGTTGTAACATTTTCAATTTTGCTATGTTGGTCTTTCTTTAGGTGTTTTCTCTATTTTGACATAACGGAAGATAGATATACACTGTATTAAACAGTACAGTGCACGCATAAGAACGTTTGCAATTTAAGTTAACGGTGATTGTAAGGATAGACACTTTTAACCGATTTTTATTTACACCTGAATTGAAAACAAAAGATGCCTTTATATTCCTACGCATTTCTTAAACACTTTAAGGTTTTTTACATGTTTAATATTTAAAAAAAAAATAAAAAGAGAATAAACTATTTTATGTTGGTATCCTTATTTAGCAAGCCAATCAAATAATGAAGGTCAATCGATTAATACGCATATAACTAAATGTCGCCGTTTTCCATTGAACTTTGATAAAATTTGTAATAAATGTTAGTAAATGATAAATCTTTATAAATGTACATCAGTCTAATAATTTGGACAGCGAAAATAATCGCATTACAAAATTTATAAATTTGACTTTTGCACTACTTTTTGTAGCTACTTCCGCCTGTCAAAATAGGTGTGTTGTTAGGTCACATCTGGAGTTGTGTTTTGATATACAAAGTGTAATTGTTATTTGGGACTTTTATTGGATATACAACCTAGATACTCTTGGAATATGTCTGAATATTAAAAAGAATAATCAACCAACATGAGTCTTCCCGAGGATCCGTATGTCAACTTCGAACCACCTCCAGAGGCACCGGTTTTTACACCGACAGAAGAAGAATTTGCAGATTCACTTGCGTATATCGCGAAAATAAAACCAATCGCCGAAAAATATGGAATTTGCAAAGTTAAACCACCAAAGGTTATTAGGTTTTATCAATTATTTCAATTGAAGTTAATTCATTTCATTTTTAATGTGCTTTTCTGTGAGAAAATCTTCATAAAGTTAATGAATTTCGTGTTGTGTACGTGCATGTAAAATCGACAAAGATGGCGTCGCTTTGTTGGCTAGGCTCAGAAGATTATAATGGAAGGGCTTCACTAAATTCGGCACAAAACAGTCAAATCTGGACGGAATTTTATGATTTATGGCTCATATTGTGTGCAAATTATTCAAGCATAGGAAGATGGATATAAAATACACATTCAGTTTGTTTTCTTGAAGAATTAGTGAATTTAGTGAAACAAGTGTGACTTTTTCTGAAGTCACCACCTCAGACACAGGCCTGTATTGTCATGCCCATTTGGCCCATTGAGCAAGCATATGTCATTGACAACAAAAATGAAAGTGTCAGAATACATAAGTGATTATTTTTCTTTGAAAAAATGACAGAATACACAAACATTTTAAAGAATATATGGATTTTATTTAAAAATGATACTAATTTAAGTTTTTTATTTGGCAGTGTATGTGTTACACACCCTTTACTAAAATGGCTTGATCCAGATGGTTAAGGTCACCCTCCCTGAAATATGTGTTTCTACAACTGTGTAGTAGTAACATAGGTGTCTTATTAAAACTACCAGTTGAGTTTGGAATATGCATTCAATGGAAATCTAAATTTATGGAGTAAAAAATTTAAATTATGTAACTTTGGCACTAGCAATAAAGAAATCAATGTCATTACTTAACAATTTGATATTGTTCTCCTTTTTACAAACTTTTTGAAGTCATCAACTCTATTTTCTTTGTCGCATCTTGAATATTGTTATATTTTTCCAATCAAATTCAATGCTTATCAGTTCCCTATCAAGGTGAAATGAAATCATTATCTAAGGTCAAAATTGAAAAAAAAAAAACACCAAAAAAACAATCTGTTTGTTTTGGACAGTCGATATAATGTTTGGTTCTATATGAATTCTAGGGATTTTATTATAATAACCATTATACTCAATATTGAGTCAGCCGGCCCAATTTAGAAATTAGGTAGACATTTTAATATATTATAATTTCCACTTGGCTCTGCCTTGTTACCATGTATAATGGGATTATTTTTTTACAAAAAAAAACTTGATATGTTAAGATGGATTAAATTAGTTAGGAAAAAACAACAAATTGGATATAATTTTGCTGTTTTAGGACTGGCAACCACCTTTTGCAGTCGATGTTGACAAATTCAGATTTGTACCACGTGTCCAACGTCTTAATGAACTAGAGGTAACTTTTTGTTTTTCCTTGATTCATTTTAGCTTGTTCTTTAGATATGATTTGTATTAGAATTGATTCATGAGAAAAATATTTCACTGAATCGGAAAAAAACTATTGTATTATGCAATTTATGGACCTGTTTATATGACAGTATTGACTATCTACTGCCAGTGTTTCTCTTTTAAAGTGGAATCATTCCATCTGCAAGGAGAAATTCCAAATAATGAAGTATTTTAAAAGATGACCTACTGAGCAATGTTGTTTTTTTCCTATGTGGAAAGCAGCAAAACGATTTGTCAAATTTGGTTATTATATATTTGTATGAAGCAGTCCAATTAAACATGTCAAAGCTACATTTTTAGTCCCTCTCGGTCAGAAGTTAATAATGAGTATGGCAGGATCTTTATCTTTATAATATAAAATATATATATTAAAACATTTTCACATTTAAATCAAATTTAAATGGTCAAGCTTTTACAGCTTAAAAAATACAGACAGAAAAAAAATATTTTTGAATATGTTCACAAAGTGATAGAATTATATTTTTTAAAAGAATAATCATCAGTTTCAACTTTGAATGTTTGTACATATTCTGTTAAACTTGATATAAAGTAATGGCAATTTGATTATTGATGAGGAGTTGTTAAGTAGTATAGACACATTATATGATCAAGTAGTGAAGTGAATTTATTCAAGATGGCTGCCATTTTTGTAAGCAAATCTAGCCATACTGGTCATGTTTAGACAGGTAGCTAAAGCATGCACAATTTTAGTCATAAGATGTTTTTGTAAAAAAGATACTAAAAAGTAATTATGTTTTATAAATCTTTGTTTTGATTTTCAATTTTGAAAAATCAAAAATACCAGATTTCAATCATGTTATTATTAGGTCAAACCTTGATAAATATTGGTTAAATTTGTAATGTAGGCTTAAAATTTGTAATTTAGGCTTAAAAAGAAAATATAAGCATATAAACAAATTTTCATTTGTATTGAAAAGTTGATTTATATTATTATAACAAATTTAGAGTAGCGTTATGACAAAAGTAGTTCAACACAGTGAACAATACATAGGTATTAAAATGACTGACCAAATTCTACAGGATAATAAATTGTAAAATAAATTGGATGCAATCAAGTATTTTTATACTCTCTAGATCAGAGTAATAAACAGGGGGTTACACGACTTACCGGAATCGGCCGAATTACCGGAATCGACCGGAATCGGCGGTGAATTACCGGAATCGACCTGTAACTTTGTAATAATTAAACTTTTTAAGTTTGTTCTTGCAATTTTATAAAATATAAACAATATCAATGATTTATGAAAAGATTTTTATACATAAAATCGCTTTTGATTAATTTAACAAGAGATCTAATATCGGCGAGCTACTGCCAAACTGCCCGTGACCGGAATCGGCCTGTTATTTCGTTGTTTATGCAACTTTTAATGTTCCTTTTGCATGTTTTTATAAAACCTAAATATTATCATTAATCTTCCTAGAGATTGTGAAAAAAATCGCTTTTAAATAATAATAATAAACAAATATTTATGATCAGCGAAAACGGGCAAACTGCCGGAATCGGCAAAGGATTACCGAAATCGGCCTGTAATTTGCTTATCTTTATACTTTAAACAAAATGTTTGCACCCTTGATTATAAATAAACAATAGCAATAATATGTAATCAGATTATTAATAATCATACTGTCGGAATCGGCGAAGGATTACCGGAATCGACGTATAATTTAGTCTATTGTACATTTTTAACGTTTCTGTTGCATTGTTAATATTCGTCTTATAAAATATAAATATTATGAATGATATTTAAAAGTTTCTTTCATTCTTTTATTTTGTAAATTTCAATTCGCCTTTGGTTAATAAAGCAAGAGATCGAAGATCGGCGAGTTACATATACTGTCATACAGCCGAAATAGCCGAATGATTACCGGAATCGGCCTGTATTATTGTAATTTATGGACTTTGCAAGAAAAAAATGCAAACAATATAATAGATATCTAAAAAGATTTCTGTAAATGAAGAATCCTTATTAAATAATAAGCTAGAGATCTAAGGTCGGCGAATTACTGCCATATCGCATAATTATATGCAGTGCCAGGGCTATCGGACAATTACCGGAATCGGTCTGTTTTCCCCCACCAATATTTCAACGTTTAAAAAATAACCTTGACTTATTTTATTAAATACAAACAATTTAAAAGATTTTTTATAATGTTTATTGAAATCGGTATTAAATAAGAAGCAAAAGATTTATGAAAAATTGCTGTTATAAATAATAAAAAGATTAATATTGAAGATCGGCAAAAACGGGAAACCTGTCGGAATAGGCGATAGATTACCGGAATCGACCTGTAATTTGGTTATTTGTGATTTTTTTTTGAATATTTCTTTTGCATGTTTTTATAAGATATAAACATTTTCAACGATATTCATGTTTAGCTCGACTATTCGCAGAATAATCGAGCTAATGCAGTCACCCATTTGTCGGCGTCGGCGTCGGCGTCCCTGTGGTTAAGTTTTTGTATGTAAGCTGATATCTCCATAACTACTGAAGGGAATGGATTGAAACTTCACACACTTGTTCTCTGTGATTATCTAAGATGATTGGCACAAGTCCCATAACTCTGAATTGTTTTATTTCATAATTATGCCCCTTTTTCGACTTAGAAAATCTTGGTTAAGTTTTTGTATGTAAGCTGGTATCTCCATAACTACTGAAGGGAATGGATTGAAACTTCACACACTTGTTCTCTCTGATTATCTAAGATGATTGGCACAAGTCCCATAACTCTGATTTGCTTTTTTTCATAATTATGCCCCTTTTTCGACTTAGAAATTCTTGGTTAAGTTTTTGCATGTAAGCTGGTATCTCCATAACTACTGAAGGATATGGATTGAAACTTCACACACTTGTTCTCTCTGATTATCTTAGATGATTGGCACAAGTCCCATAACTCGGATTTGCTTTTAACATAATTATGCCCCTTTTTCGACTTAGAAATTTTTTGTTAAGTTTTTGCGTGTAAGCTGGTATCTCCATAACTACTGAAGGGAATGGATTGAAACTTCACACACTTGTTCTCTGTGATTATCTAAGGTGATTGGTACAAGTCCCATAACTCTGAATTGTTTTATTTCATAATTATGCCCCTTTTTCGACTTAGAAAATCTTGGTTATGTTTTTGTATGTAAGCTTGTATCTCCATAACTACTGAAGGGAATGTATTGAAACTTGAAGAGTTTGTACCTTTTCGGACAATTTTATGTATTCATATAGGTAAGCATTATTATACTCAATGAAACACCCTTGTGACAAATTTTCGAATAGTCGAGCTTAACTGTCCTCCGACAGTTCTTGTTGTAAATAAATTCGCTTTTGATTTATAAAACAAGAGACCTAAGATCGGCGAATTACTGTCATTCTGCCGATATAGGGGAAGGATGGGCGGAATCAGCCTGTAATATAGTTATTTTTATGTTATTTTATTGAATGCAAATAATATCATTGATATACGAAGATTTTTTTGAGAAATAAAGATCACTTTTTTACTATAAACTAGATATCTAAGATAGACTAATTACTATCACAGTGCCTGAATTAACAGGTAAATACCGGAATTAGTCTGTTTTTTTGTTATATTTCAGCGTTTTAAAAATATCTTGCCATACAAACAATTCAAATGATATTTGAAAATATTTATTGCAATTGCTATTACATAATAAACAAGGTGATCTATGATTTCTTCCATACTACCGAAATCGACGAGCGATTACCGGAATCGGCTTCACTTCGTCTAGGATTACTGGAATCGGTTCTAATTTTGTTATGAATGTGAATTCAATATTATTATTATCATTTATTTTTGCATGTATTTACAAACATTATCATTGATCTTTATGGAATAATGCAATATCGTCTTTACATTATATTTTTCAGGACATTGCTAACAGAGGATTGTTTGAAATGACGGATAACAATAGGTCAGTTTTGTCTTTCTTTATGTTTGCAAAACTCAATTCTTGATTTCATAAAGTAGTCGATTTATAATTACATGCAATAATATTTACATGAAATCAATGTTTTACCAGGCAGTTACTTGACAGTTCATGGTCATTCTGGAGTATCAAATCAATTGTCGTCATTTGCGTTATTGGTGCACCATAAAAATATTACAAAGATTGCGAATAAGTCAATCGTTGAAACATAGATTATTTAGTCTTAAATAGTAAACAAATCATCTATACCCGTAAAGTATAAAAAAAGTGAGATATGGATGTTAACTATATACGCACAGATGATACTGTCACTTTATTGGAAGTAAACGAGCTGTATATTGGGAGCTGTGTATTGGGAAGTGTGATATACTACAAAACAGTGGGGTGCCAATATACGGTATGCTGATATATTTCATAGTGGGAGAGACTATCTATTAGAGAATGCCTGTTGTTCAGCAAGCTGTAGATGAATTAAGTCATAGGATTTATTGAACTTCATAATTTTTAAAGACTTAAGATTTAGTCAATGTAAAAACAAAACAACAATATAAACACCCTGTATAGATCTAAAGATTCTTTTCAAAGTTTAGCATAATTTCTAACCGTTTGACCCATTTAATTATTAATAAAAAATGGAAGAAGATCCTTTAAAGTTAAGGACTATGATATATACATGTAGTCATCTATGTCTCTGGCTTATGACACTGAATTAATAATGACATTTTCCGCGAACATCCCAAATAAACACACAATATTTTTTTAATGTGATGTATATATATTTTTTCATCTTTGATTAAATATAAACAATATCAATGATATGTAATCAGATTTTTGTAAATAAAATCTCATTGATAAATGATTAAATAAACAAGATATTTAATATCGGCGAGTTATTGCCATACTGTCGGAATCGGCGAAGGATTACCGAAATATAATTTGGTTATTAATGTCAGAAGATTAAAAAAAAAGGTTCTTGCATCTTTATACAATATCAATGAAATGTAAAAAGATGTAAATAAAATCGCTTTTGATTAATTTAACAAGAGATCTAATATCGGCGAGCTACTGCCAAACTACCCGAATAACAATCCTTCCGACAGTATGACAGTAAGTTCAGTAACTTGCTGATCTAGTTTAATTAATAAAGCGTGATTTTGTTTATAAAAATCTTTGTACATGTCATTCATATTGTTTGTATTTAATAATTCTTAAAAAGTTCATAAATAAAATTACTGGCCGATTCCGGTAATAATTCCCCGATTCCAGCAGTATGACAGCTGGGACATACGATATATAGTATGTCCCAGATGACAGTAACTTGCTGATCATAATTAAATCTCTTGTTTTAATGAATCAAATGTGTTTTTTATAAAAAATCTTATTACATGTCATTAATTGTCTATATTTTATAAAAGTTTAAAAGTTCATGAATAACAAAATTACAGGCCGATTCCGGTAATCATTCCTCGATTCCGGCAGTATGACAGTAACTAGCTGATCTTAAGTATGTTGCTTAATTAATCGTAAGCGATTTTTATTTATAAAAAATATTTTTACATGTCATTAACATTGTTTATATTTTATAAAAGATGCAAGATTTTTTTTAAAAGTTCATAAATAACAAAATTACAGGCCGATTCCGGTAATCATTCCCCGAAACAACACGCTTTCTCTAACAGACAGACCCTCCCACTATGAAATATATCAGCATACCGTATATTGGCACCCCACTGTTTTGTAGTATATCACACTTCCCAATACACAGCTCCCAATATACAGCTCGTTTACTTCCAATAAAGTGACAGTATCATCTGTGCGTATATAGTTAACATCCATATCTCACTTTTTTTTATACTTTACGGGTATAGATGATTTGTTTACTATTTAAGACTAAATAATCTATGTTTCAACGATTGACTTATTCGCAATCTTTGTAATATTTTTATGGTGCACCAATAACGCAAATGATACTCCAGAATGACCATGAACTGTCAAGTAACTGCCTGGTAAAACATTGATTTCATGTAAATATTATTGCATGTAATTATAAATCGACTACTTTATGAAATCAAGAATTGAGTTTTGCAAACATAAAGAAAGACAAAACTGACCTATTGTTATCCGTCATTTCAAACAATCCTCTGTTAGCAATGTCCTGAAAAATATAATGTAAAGACGATATTGCATTATTCCATAAAAGATCAATGATAATGTTTGTAAATACATGCAAAAATAAATGATAATAATAATATTGAGTTCACATTCATAACAAAATTAGAACCGATTCCAGTAATCCTAGACGAAGTGAAGCCGATTCCGGTAATCGCTCGTCGATTCGGTAGTATGGAAGAAATCATAGATCACCTTGTTTATTATGTAATAGCGATTACAATAAATATTATTAAATATCATTTGAATTGTTTGTATTTAATAAAATATGGCAAGATATTTTTAAAACGCTGAAATATAACAAAATAACAGACTAATTCCGGTATTTACCTGTTAATTCAGGCACTGTGATAGTAATTAGTCTATCTTAGACATCTAGTTTATAATAAGAAGTGACCTTTATTTCATAAAAAATCTTTTTATATCAATGATATTATTTGCATTTAATAAAATAACATAAAAATAACTATAGTATACAGGCTGATCCCGCCCATCCTTCCCCTATATCGGCAGTATGACAGTAATTTGCCGATCTTAGGTCTCTTGTTTTATTAATTAAAAGCGAATTTACTTACAAAAATGAATATCGTTGAAAATGTTTATATCTTATAAAAACATGCAAAAGAAATATTTAAAAAGTTCACAAATAACCAAATTACAGGTCGATTCCGGTAATCCATCGCCTATTCCGACAGGTTTCCCGTTTTTGCCGATCTTCAATATTAATCTTTTTATTATTATATAACAGCGATTTTTCATAAATCTTTTGCTTCTTATTTAATACCGATTTCAATAAACATTATAAAAATCGTTTATATTGTGTTTGTATTTAATAAAATAATTCAAGGTTATTTTTAAACGTTGAAATATTGGTGGGGAAAAAACAGACCGATTCCGGTAATTGTCCGATAGCCCTGACACTGCATATATGCGATATGGCAGTAATTCGCCGACCTTAGATCTCTAGTTTATTATTTAATAAGGATTCTTCATGTTCAGAAATCTTTTTAGATATCAATGATATTGTTTGCATTTTTTTCTTGCAAAGTCCATAAATTACAATAATACAGGCCGATTCCGGTAATCATTCGGCTATTTCGGCTGTATGACAGTATATGTAACTCGCCGATCTTCGATCTCTTGCTTTATTAACCAAAGGCGAATTGAAATTTACAAAATAAAAGAATGAAAGAAACTTTTAAATATCATTCATAATATTTATATTTTATAAGACGAATATTAACAATGCAACAGAAACGTTAAAAATGTACAATAGACTAAATTATACGTCGATTCCGGTAATCCTTCGTCGATTCCGACAGTATGGCAGTAACTCGCCGATATTAAATATCTTGTTTAATTAATAAAAAGTGATTTTATTGACAATAATCTGATTACATATTATTGCTATTGTTTATTTATAATCAAGGGTGCAAACATTTTGTTTAAAGTATAAGGATAAGCAAATTACAGGCCGATTTCGGTAATCCTTTGCCGATTCCGGCAGTTTGCCCGTTTTCGCTGATCATATATATAAATATTTGTTTATTATTATTATTCAAAAGCGATTTTTTTTCACAATCTCTAGGAAGATTAATGATTATATTTAGGTTTTATAAAAACATGCAAAAGGAACATTAAAAGTTGCATAAACAACGAAATAACAGGCCGATTCCGGTCACGGGCAGTTTGGCAGTAGCTCGCCGATATTAGATCTCTTGTTAAATTAATCAAAAGCGATTTTATGTATAAAAATCTTTTCATAAATCATTGATATTGTTTATATTTTATAAAATTGCAAGAACAAACTTAAAAAGTTTAATTATTACAAAGTTACAGGTCGATTCCGGTAATTCACCGCCGATTCCGGTCGATTCCGGTAATTCGGCCGATTCCGGTAAGTCGTGTAACCGATAAACAGGGATTTACTGGAAGCAGGATCCTGCATCAATTTACATCAAATTGTACCTTAAAAATATTTACAGTGTATGTGGATACAGAATTCTTGGGCCCTTGCATCCAAATGGATGCATAAAAAATATAATGCCAGTATTATAAATATTGTTTAACATAATAAAACATTCAAAACTCTTGCAGTACACAATTTTTTATATGTTATAATATATAGCATATACTAAGTAAACAGTTTTGTTTAGTAAGGAGTTGGACTGCTGAAATTTGTTGTTGGAAGCCATAAAAATTTTTTATTGGACCACCCAATATAAGTGGTTGGACCCCTGCAATGATCACTGGACCGGTCACCCCTGAAAATTAAAAATGATGTAAATCCTTCAAGAATAAAATTTATATATTGACAACATGACGGGGGTCAATGTGTTAAGATTCAGAAAGAATGAAAAAATTATGGTGGAAATTTCAATTTGGTTGGCAAGATGAAGATTCTTTAGTTTTTAACATGTGAAAAGATTTGTATAAAGTGTAGAAACATTCTTGTTATCTAGTTACTTTTCCAGAGTTTGTATTTAAATGTTGTGTAACCTTACCTAAATTTAGGGGGAGCTAACTTTATTAGTGGCGATAGAGATAATTTGCTACCTATATTTTTGAAGCATGCATGAAGCAAATAGTTAACTTCCTTTGGCTAAATTATAGGCATTACATAACATTAACATGACCATTTTATATTTTTTTAGGAAAGTTTCTTTCCTGTTCTCTTTTTTTTCTACCAGTTTTGTCAGACACAGTGACATGTATACTTTTTTTTCAAAATTAATCAATTTTGTATGCATGTACATGTACAGATTTTCATACAGTATTTTATTTTTGATGAGAATATGTTTATCCAACTTTATAATGAAAATTACTGTTACATAGAACAATTACATTGGAATTTGCAAACTGTTCAAAAACTGATAAAAAAAATTTTAAACCAGAAAAAAAACAAAAAAACTGACAAGTCTTTGAATTTAAATGTGTAAAATGAAAGAAGCAAATAATATTTTATTTTGGGTATGGTACTTAGAAAGTATTTACAAATTTTCTCTCTTTTATTTACTATACTGACATTGTCCAACAAGTTTTTTTTCTTCATATTCTTGAATAATATAATACTGTATACATAATACATGTACATTATTTGTGTGATGTAGAAAAAGATGTTATTTTAATTTTTATCAAATATTGAATCTCTGTCTCATAAGATTGAAGTGGAAAAGATATGATCTCTACATGTATTGGTTTAAATATAAATATTTTTATATCAGGCAAAGTCTCGTATCAAGTTGAACTTCTTGGATCAGTTAGCTAAGTTTTGGGAGCTACAGGGAAGTAGCTTGAAGATTCCTCATGTTGAACGTAAACTGTTGGATCTCTATGACCTTTATAAGGTAAGTCCTTCATTAAATTACGTTGAATATGAAAGTGAAGGCATCTAGTACTGGTAAACTGCTTGACAGCTTGCCCAGGAATGATGAGGTGGCTGAACTGTGCTCTGGTAACTTCAACTTGGCTTACTACCATGATCCAGAGGGTAAATTACAAAAACCACCACTTCTCGTATTATATTAATCGGCCATGTGTATAGTTTAAATAACCAATCTTACGAGATCTGATACAATTTCACATGCAAATGTCGGAAACTAAATACTAAAGACAGTACACTTTATCCAATTTTTTGGCTTTTTATAAAGTTTTGAACATAAAGTTTATATATGCAGAAACAAGGCATTGATGCTTTGTCTTCTACTTTCAAAGATTTCAAGGCATAGCTCTTGTGGCTGCAACCTTTCTTGAATCCTTTCAATAATGTAACTTGATCTTATAATTAAAGAATTGCATTAGGCAGGGAAGCCTTTGGTTGCTTCAAATTAATTTCAGAACCATAGGATGAAAGTTTGAGCTATCTTTGATAATTTATAACAATAAGCATCTTGCATTGTTAATCACAATTCAAGCCCTGCCCACTGTAAAATTATTGTTTGTTTTTTTCCCAACCATAACAGGAGGATGGCACATGGTTGCTTAGACACAATGTAACATAAGGCAGTTGTAGCCTTCATTAAGTTACAGGAAAAATTAATTAATTTCATAGTAAAACCAATTTTTCATTTTGATCAATGTAGAGAGAAATTATGACACAAATGTGACTTTGCAAGTTGATTGATTGTTTCAAGAAGTCATGTTGTTTTATCAAGAAATTGAGTGCACAATTCATATCCAGATCATGAAACCTGCAACAGATGATGAAGTTTAAATGGGAAACTGATACTATTGCCTTTTTTATAAAAATTATATAAAAAGTTGATGCAAGATTTGTTGTGAAAAAAAAAAAACATTTTCATTTTATGAAAAAAAGAGATAATTTTATATACATGTACAAAGGTAATTTATAATTTTGATTATTTATAGACTGTCGAGAAGGAAGGTGGTATGGAATCAATCTCACAAGAGAGACGATGGACCAGGGTAGCCACGTCTATGGGGTACGAGTCTGGGAAAGGCGTTGGTGGAACTCTTAAATGCCATTATGAGAGATTACTTTTCCCATATTACCTTTTCAAAACTGGGGCATCACTTGAGGCTGCTGTAAGTCTACTTGTTCTTTTCTTAAGTTTTTATTTATTTTATTTTATTTATTTGTTTATAGGAATCAATTTAAAATTACAAAAAAAGAGAATAGTAATTTATGTGTCATTATGTAACATTTTAGTACATTATATCATAGTGTTGTGATTTTGAATTACGTAATTGTCAGCGAACATTCATACTGTTTACATATATCCAGGTCACTAGGCTGAGATTTTGTAAAAGTTTTGCTTATTAGTTTACATAATTATCTGTTAGTTGTTCGAAATTTGATGCTGTAATTTATGATCCTATTTAACTACAATGACATGTTGTCTCCCTGGGTGGCTAGAACGTTTAAGATATAACTGGTTTCAATATTACTCGAAAATTTGTTGCACTTGAAGTTGAAAAATGATAATGACATTTGCTTTTTTAACTTCTATATTTAGAACTTGAAGATAATTGATGACAAGGAAGACAATTCAGCCGATGCTGATTATAAACCACATGGTATTGAGGAGAGAATTGCCAGCGGTAGTTATAAACGTATACCCAAGATGGAGAGAAAAGATGTCAAACAGGTAATGTCCTTAAAGTTATAGACTGTACAGGTCGCAGATTGTAAATGTTTAATTTTACAAATAGTGAGGTGAAGAGAAAAAAAGACTCCTCACTCTTATATATTTTAAAACCACAATTCATTTGTGAGTTGAAGGATTGCAGTGGTTACTATATCTGATTGTGCACTACATTAGTGAGTGGAAGTTTGGTACCAGGCTGTGGTTTCTTTATCTGATTACACATTTAGGGGTTTCATCTCCTTTTCCCTGTGTGTCTTTGCTTTACATCTGCATTGAAATTATTGCCGAAGAGGTATTTGCACTGAAATGGATACTCTCTCTATATTTTGTACTATTCTCATTAAATAGAAATGTGAGAAACACTTTTCTAGACTCTGGAAGTGTCACCTAAATTGTTTGTCAATTTGTTTTATTTTATACAATATATAATTATATCATTGTAGGAACCAGCAATAGACTTCAATAAGAATCCAGAGTTAAGGAAGTTACAGTTCCTTGGAGCCGGGCCCAAAACTGCAATACCAAAAGTAGGCGAAGAGGAAGGTATGGCCTTTTAACTATCATACTATTGAGTCTTACTTATGACCTTAGTTATAAAGCAAAGACACAAACAGATTGACTGTGCATTTAGAATATATAGACAAGTTCAATGCATTTAAAATAGATAGAAAAGTGTAAACAATTTTTGATAAAAATAAAGACATTGTTGGATTTTACGTTATCATTCTGTAAATTATTTATTGTAGAAGAAAAACCAGAAGTAAAAGAAGGAAAGAAAATGAAAACCAGAAACAAAACAAACCCAGGGCTTTACACTTATGTGAGTATTTGATTATTGAACTATGCTTACATTTCCTGCTATATTTGGCCACTCAATTGAGAATTCACAAGCTTGGAATTCATAATTTTATGCATTCGTTCTTTATTACACTATTCATAGATATTGTATTTCTTAGTTCAGAAAATACAATTTTGTATATTTATTTGACTTGCATGAAGATGTTAAATTGCATCCATAAATGTCCGTCCACTTATCTTGAGGAAGCATCAAATTAGTAATCCATGGGGTTACTGGCTCACCTCTGATTTAAAGTCAAATTGAATTATTGGTGACACTGGTCTGTGGAAAAACTGGTAATAACTGATATATATAACTAGAATAGTTATCCAGGAAAGCCAGTTAGGTGGATCAAACTGTGAGATATGACCAAAAATGTAAAAAAACTATAAGGAATCACTAATTATTTATTGTCATATGATACATATTGTTACATGTTAATCTCATTAGGAATTGAATAAAAAAATGTTCATACAGTGAGGCTTCTAAGAGAGATAAGTGCAAATTTAGCTGTGTGTTTTTCAGCGCTGGTGTTACCTAGTCTTCAGTTATTGTCATGTATATATTACAGGTTGACCTATATTATTGCCACACATGTGGGCGTGGTGATGGGGAGGAGTATATGTTGCTATGCGACGGTTGTGATGATGCGTTCCACACCTATTGTTTGATACCTCCTCTATCTGAGATACCTAAAGGGGACTGGAGATGTCCTAAATGTATACAACAGGTGGGTTCATGAGTCAGTAATCTATCATCATCATACAATACTTAGAGAATTCTTTTTTTCATATCTTTAAAACATGCAAAAGTTCTTTTCACTAAAAGCATATTATCAAAATACATACAACAATGTTACAACATGCACAAAAATTTTAAAGACATCAGAACTGTAAACTGTAATAAATCAATAATTATTACATAAGAATATGATCTTAAGGTAGGTAAATAAACAAACAGAATATAGTCTGCGAAATGTTTATAAACTGAACAGAGAAATACTTAAAAAAGAGGTTAGCAACTTAATGGCATTTTAGATTAACTGATTTAAGAAAAAATATGACAGGAACATTCACAGTAGGTAAATGCATCTTCTTCATGTGCTTGCAAGAAATGATACAAATTGAATAGAATAAGCTTGAAATAAATCATACAGTGAATGGAAGAGCTCACAATAAATCATACTCATTGAAATTACAGAGACACACAACATATGTAATAGTGACTCTATTTACATACATGTACTATGACATTGATATGTTAATCGTAACTTAGTCTTCAATTTTTGTGAGAGAGTAGACTTACAACATTGTATATGTATTGTAGGCATGCAGTAAACCACAGGATCCATATGGTTTTGAGCAATCCAAGCGAGAGTTTTCCCTACAGTCGTTCGGAGAGATGGCAGATAACTTTAAAAGTAATTACTTCAACATGCCTGTACATGTAAGTACATTTACTGTTCTTGTGATATCTTAAAAAGTACAAATGTAAAAGAAGATATTGAGAGGAAAAAACAACAAAAAACAAAGAAAACATTAAATTTCAGATTGAAAAGAAAATGTAAAAGCCTGGTATAAGATGTTACGTAGTAAATGATGAAAGTCCAGATTTTATACAAAGTACACAATAAATAAATATCATTCCATGTTGAATTTATTTGAAGTGTTTGAAGGATTCAAAATAAGATTTGTCACCTAGTTATTTCTTTTTATTGTGAAGATGGTGCCATGCGAGATGGTAGAGAAGGAGTTTTGGCGGTTGGTGAACAGCCTAGAAGAGGATGTGGCTGTGCAGTATGGGGCAGATGTTCACGCCATGGACCAGGGGAGTGGCTTTCCAACAAAAGCTGTGAAAGAACAGTTTATGGAAGATGAGGTAACCGACTGTGTTACAGAGGTATTATATTTTAAAATTTCTTTTATAAAAAGGAGATGCCACAGTCACTGGAAAACTGGTAGTATTTACTGTTAAAATTCAATCTCTCATAGTGAATTTTTTCTAAAAGAAATGCCGAAAACACTTAAGCTTTTGCAGTTATTTTGATTATTTATCCATTACTTTTGTTATGAATTTTTCTAATCTAAGGTAATGCTTTGTATAGACATTGCTGATTTTGCTGTAGTTTTTCTCAAGATAAACAGTAGTTCTTCTGATAGTGGTAAACATTTTTGATAAGGGTATCCTAATTATTATTCAAACTTGCGATGACTGATAAGCTGTTAAAAGAATAGCTTTTTGTCATAATCATGGACTTCTTAGGAATGGCTAGAGATATTTTTGTTAACCATTTTTTGTGGCAACCTCCTTTCACTGTGTGTTTGTCCGTAGTAACATTTGAGTGAAGTTTGCTGTGAACATCTGACATTTTTTATTTATATAATTTATGTATATTCAATGTATTTATTCACATTTGTGCCATCACTTTCCATTACAATTGATCAGGGAAAAAATGTATACATTGACTTATATCTGTAATGCATGATCATTTATAGATAGATTTTATATAAAATGTTAATTATTCATGTATTTAGCTTTAATAATTTTAAACAATGATTTCAACTTGTGCTATTGAAAATTGTTAACTTCTGAAAGTCTGGAACATAAATTTCATATTTGTAAACACAAAATTAGTTTTTTGTTAAACCTTTTGTTGGATGAAGAAGGGAAATAATTATAAAGGCTGCAAGAATGGTCTTTTTGTAAAAGATACAGAAATAATGTGGATTCCTGGAAAATGTATTCTCATGAACAAAATCATATTATCTGATTTAATGTAATGTAATGAAATTTGATCTGTTGTGAGTTTTGAACAGGTGGTTTATTTCATTGTTTAAACCTTTCAGGAATATATGAACTCTAGTTGGAACTTGAACAACCTCCCAGTACAAGAAGCCTCAGTATTGTGCCATATTAATGCTGATATATCTGGCATGAAGGTAATAACATTTAACCTACACCCCCTTAATTTGTACATAATACATTGGACTGGCTCTGTTTTGAATTTGGAACGGTCCAAAATGTTTTTTTTTGGATTTCAGTATCAGATTAACCAAAATGAAGTAGCCAACATTATAAGGCCTTTCCAGGCAAAGGGCAATCTGCCAGGACGGGTTCACCTCTGGTCTATTCTCGTAACATAGGTTAACTGCCACTAATGTGTTGTGTTTTGTCAGTATTTTTACATGTATTTTATTTATGAAATGACAAGGATTGATCCTGGCAAAATTAATGTTCTTGCATTCTTTTGAAAGTATTTACATTTTCACTGCAGATTTTCTATATGAATTATGTGCAGCTGTGATATTACACACGGTGAACATATGTTGCATAAGAGAGGATTTGAATTTCATTAACACTATTTTTCCTCACCTTTGAACCTATTTTAATGACTGAAATAGAATTCTAGATAAGTGCAGCTGTACTATTACTAAGATGAAATCAAACTAAGAAAATATTTTTGTCTGCACTGAAAACAACATATTTTATGTGGCAGGTACCATGGTGTTATGTTGGAATGTGTTTCTCCAGTTTCTGCTGGCATATTGAAGACCACTGGAGTTACTCCATCAATTACATGCATTGGTAAGTACATATTGTAGTATGAATTAATTGGCATTTAATTAATCTCTTTTAGTTGTTACTGTTCATTTCTACAGTACTGACAAGTGTATTTGCTTTTTGCAGTTAGCTTGATTAACAGTGTAATATTTGATGTTATATAAAGTGGTTTTTCTCACTTAATTTAGATGCGGCCAACATTATAAGGCCTCCAGATTTAGGGAAAAAATTATCGCTTAAATTGCTAATTTGGGAAGTAAAAAGCTTGTGTAAGTTCAGATTTTTCGAAAAACTGCAAGATTTTAAAGAAAATTTTGATTTGGAATGATTTAGGGAAAAATTTATCGCTTAAATTGCTAATTTGGGAAGTAAAAAGCTTGTGTAAGTTCAGATTTTTCGAAAAACTGCAAGATTTTAAAGAAAATTTTTATTTGGAATAAGCCGTTTATTGGCCTCTGTTATAAAAGGTGAAATCACTGTAATTTAAATGCTTTAATAATATTATATATAAAGATATTTCATGTGTTTTGGTTATATTTATCAGGGGTGAACCAAAGACCTGGTATGGTGTATCAGGCCATAATGCAGACCAGTTTGAAGATGCTATGAAACGCACAGCACCAGAGCTGTTTGAGAACTCCCCTGATCTTCTGCATCAATTAACCACAATTATGAACCCTAATGTGCTTATGAAACAAGGAGTAAAGGTAATATATTTACTGTATATGTTAAAAACATAGCAAGTTAGATAGAATAACAAAAACCTTCAAAGAGTTTACCTATTAGGCAAGCCTTTAGTTTACAAAATGAATGGGAAAAAGAATATTTATGACCTTTACTTATAATTTGTCAATTTAGGTTAAAAGAAATTGAGCCTATCTGTCAGTAGAGTTATGTAATCTTCATCGAAACAGGGCATTATTTTGTTAAAATTTTTTTTTAACTATTGAGGATGTAATGAAGTCATTCAGAAATTATGGTTATGATCGACACAGGTTAAAACCAGATTAAACAGATATTTTAATAAACTTGAAGCATTTTCAAATGTTGTTTGCAATAGCTTAGAAAGAAAAAAAGTCTTTATTTTTTCCTCTGCTCTTTTTCAAGAAATAATTGTAGATTAGATGACAGTTTGTAAATGGAACTTCAGAATTAACGTATCAGGTCTAGGGGCATTGTTAAACATGGATACAAACATTTTACTTATACGTATATAACATCCTTCATAACCTGAAGTAGATGAAAAGTTTGAAATTTGTAATACCCATTGTATATTTTCTTTACTATATTCATTGCTTAGTTTCTTATATTGTCATACAATTAATGAAGACCTGGTATATTTATAGATTTGTCGAACCAATCAGCATGCAGGAGAGTTTGTTATAACATTCCCAAGAGCATATCATGCCGGCTTTAACCAGGGATATAACTTTGCTGAAGCTGTCAACTTCTGTCCATCAGACTGGGTAAGTTCTTGTTATTTGATGTACTGACAAATGAATAAAACAAATAAAATACTCTGTCATAAACATGATAATGAAGTAATTGAAAAGCTGATACAATTGCATTTATTCTACAGATAATTTTTTCAATCATCTAACTTAAAGACATATTATTTGTAGAACACATATTATATTAATATAGATTAAGTTTTAACAATGTTTCAGTATTTTATAGAGTTTAGATACATCCATAGTTCTTCTGGATACAATAAAAATGTACATTTTGTTGTATATAATACTAGGTATTTCTAATGTTGATTTTTATAGGACAGTCTTGACATTTATTCAATTTATATACAAATATATATACATGTCTGCTGCAATTTTATGTCTGATTTTTCCTAAAGTAATGCAAGAGGGGGCACCTGAGCTTGTATTTTATCAGTCAGTAAAGCTTGAAAGTTGTCATATGACCTTTACAGTATTGGTGTCCCAGATATTTAATCCAAAACTATCATATTATAACCCATTGCCTGTCTTCTATTTATAGTTACCAATGGGAAGAAAGTGTATCGAGCACTACAGAGATTTACACAGACAGTGTGTATTCTCACATGAAGAACTCATATGTAAAATGGCCGCCGACCCTGACAACCTTGACTTTAAAGTCGCGGCAAGTACACATGAAGATTTACTCGGTATAGCAGATATAGAGAAACAACTGAGGAAAAACTTGTTACAGATGGTATGTACTCTAGCTTTATCTTATTAACATTATAGTTGGGCCTCAGTTGCAGACTGGTTAAGTTCCCCGACATCAAGGCACTTGCCCATACCGTTGTGGGTTTGAAATCTGACAACACTGATTTAGCTACTTTGAATTCAATACATTTTTGTAAAAGTTAACACACAACAAGAGGCATTTTGCTTCAAAGAAAGTTGTATTTACTCTCAAAAATAACTTTAAGCCTTTTACTTTCGGAAAACTTTAGAAATTACAATTTTAAGTGAATAGAAAAAGTTTATATTTCATATGTTAGCTAAAGTTAGACACCTATTCTAATGGTAGATTGGTAAGATTTTCTATCCAGAAAGTTTGACTAACATTAAGAAAGTGTTATCTATAATGAAAGTGGACTTTAAACATTTCAGGGTGTGACAGAAGCTGAGAGAGAAGCGTTTGAATTGTTACCAGATGATGAGAGACAGTGTAGCTTTTGTAAAACCACATGTTTCCTGTCAGCTCTTACCTGTGTATGTTCTGGTGAGTAATCTATCATGTTTGTTAAGTGTGGGCTAAAATGTAAAGTCATTTAGGTTTTTATGGCTCACTTTTGTTAAAAATAATTCAAAATATAACTGTTTTTTTTTTCCTCAGACATATCAGAAGAACTTGATAGTTGATATAATTCAGTGATGATAGGTGATTTCATATGGGCAGAAAATTTATCTAAAATAAGTAAGCATTCTGGGTTATACGTTTAATATTCAATTTTTCATTTTCCTTGATACAAAATTATTTTTCCCTAATATTACTCAGTGGTGGTAAACATTTCACTTTTCTTTTCAGAACGTATTGTTTGTCTCCGTCATGCAGATAAATTATGTAGTTGTCCACCCAGCAAGTATTGTTTAAGGTATCGTTATACCCTTGATGAAATCCCAGCAATGTTGAGCAGATTGAAGGAGAGAGCAGAGTGTTACGAGATATGGCATAAAAGTGTGGAAAAAGCCTTGGAGGCTACTGATGATAATAAAGTTGGTAAGTGTTGTCTTTGAATCCTTTGATGTTACTTTATGATGAAGGTAATTCAGATATTACTTGATGTTGGAGATTAGAATGCGCTTTGTTTGGATAATAAAAAAACCCAATTATGTTGATTTTTTTAATTAGATTTATAAATTTACTATAATGTTTGAATGTTTGTAAGTAATTTCTTGTGATAGTGTATCGTATGTACTTGACAACTGAAGAACAAATATTGAAACAGCAAGTACACTAATTCTAAAAGGCTTGTACAAGCCAGTAAAATACCTATTAACTCTGATTCAGTAAATGTTTGTCAAATAAATAAATATGGAATAAAAGCTTTAAATTGATGCTATAAACTGACAGGCAAGTTTTCTAGTAAATCATAGAAACAGATGGAAAAACCCAATTATTACATAATGTAAAATTATATTGTAGATTTACTGGAGTTGAAGAACTTACTAATAGATGCGGAGGAGAAACATTTCCCAGATTCTGAACTCATGCAATCCTTGAATAATGCAGTAACTGAAGCTATGAAGTGTGCCAATGTTGCCAATCAACTTGTGTCAAAGAAAGTTAGAACTAGGTAAAACAAAGTTCATGTACATTTTGTAATTTCTATATTTTAAGGGGCCCGCAACAGGTGATTTTAAGTGATCAGACTGATCGTATTTTAGTTTTGAATATTATTGTTTAAGCATATAACTAATGTATTCCATACACTTAGATGTGCTTTATTTAAGGACATGATGAACAATTGATTTATCTTATATTTCGAATGAAGGACATAACATAGTTATGCTTTGATTGGTTAAATTACAGAATTGATTGTTTAGCAACTTTTTTTATCCTGTTCAATCTTAAGATGGATAAAATAAATCTGTACAGTTTATTTTTACAGCAATACAGGATAATTAGATTGAATTAGAAGATACCTATGACTATATGATATTTTTTATCTCTAAAGGAATCGACAGAATACAGATGGTAAATACATTGCTAAGCTAAGCCTAGAAGAACTTAATTGTTTCTATGAACAAGTGGCCAGCCTTCCCTGTATCATTAAAGAGGGAAAATTACTCAAGGTATGTGACAATGTCTGTAATAAATATCTTAAAGCATTTTTCTTCTATATATAACCCTTTTCAATTCTTAATTTGTGAAAAAGACTTGCTGTAGAAGTGTCTATTGTTAAGTAATGCAATGAATGTAAGTTTAAAATGCTAAGATGAAGCAGGTATAGAGTTTATTCTGCAGACAAAAAATGCACATAGGCTCATGCTGGCCTAGCTCTGTACTAGTGTAATATAGAACAAGGAATGACAATTAAAATATATTATTTTATGCAAAGTTTTAATAAGTGAACTTGTATAAATAATTCAAAGCAAATGAGTAAAACCTTTTATCCTTGCTTGGTATCATAAGTTTCTTCCTCATGTAAACCCAAAATGATTCAGTATTTCTTTATTATTTTCTTTTGGGGGAAAAACCCAGCTTTATGATTTAATGTTCTTTATTTCAAGAGTTGATAACAACTGATTCTGTTCCAGAAATTGTTTTACCAGATTTTTATTATTAAGTTGCTGCGTATTTGTTCAAAGAACTGTTTTAGCAGGCTTTTGATGACCTTTTGACTGTATTTGTTTCAGGAATTACTGGATCAGGTTTTGAACTTTCAAGCAGAGGCCAAGGAAGCTTTGGAAGCAGAGACACCCGACTCTGTCAAGCTGGAACAGTTAATAGACTTCAGTGTACAGTTGGACGTTGATCTACCTGAAATACCAAAACTTAAACAGGTAAACATTCATGCAATACAGCTCTGTGTGTGCAGCATTTCATATGTACTAAATGAAACCCCTTTTTTATAAGTAATTAGTTTTGGCAGTTTTCGACACATTTGATCCTACCATCACTTGATGAAGAAACTACAAGATAAACTTCATACCGTTTTTAGTACTACATAAACAACTGAGTATGGCTCCTTACCCACCTAGTATAATATTCAATCAAAGATAAAGTGTTGAACAGTGGTCATTTAGATAAATGCAGTAAAAGTATTTCATATATCGTTGCACTTGATCTGTAACTATTTAAAATATACATGTACTTTTCAACAGAAGGGAGCGTCTGTAGCCGAGTTACGGTCGTTGATTTCAAACCACCTGCCTCTGCGGGTTCAAAGTTCACAAAGAACTTTTGATTTTTTCATGCGATATGGCTATTCATCTAGCTTATGGAACGACAGTGGTTTTACTCAGATGCCTTTTTCATGCCTAAAATAATGCACAGAGGGGGACCTGAGGTCTTTCCCATCAGTTAAACTGGAAAGGTGCTATATGACCTTTACAGTGTTTTAGCGATGTATAACCAACAAAAAAACATTCTAACTTGTATATAATATGGTGATGTTATTACAGGTATTACAGCAAGCTAAATGGTTAGATGAAGTGAGAGAATCCCTGCAGGATCCAGAATCTGTTGTTTTGGATACATTAAGGAAACTTATGGAGTCAGGAGTTGGTCTGTCACCACATAATGCTGTAGAGAAGGCTATGGCTGAGCTGCAAGAACTGTTAACATTGAGTGAGAGATGGGAAGAAAAAGCCAGGATTTGTTTGCAGGCCAGGTATGATTGTGACCGAGTCTGTAATTACAATATATAGTATATTGCTTAAGTTTTGTGTAAACTGAGATACTTAGTAGGAGAAAGGAAAGTTATAGGAATTGTTAAAGTGACATTATGCCCATCCATGTGTAAATGATCAGTGAGCAAGTAAAATATGAAAATAACTTGATACTTTGCCAAAATTGTGTTCAATTTAGTTTTTAACCTTGAAAATTTAATCAATAATCCATGCAAGAATTTTCTGTAAATATCATTCAGAATTAATCGATAACACTCAATTCTTAAAAGGAGTGGGACAGTCTTTTAATAATTTAGGTATATTGTATCATAAACATTTTTTATTATCAATTATTGGTCAATCTCCATTATAATAGCATATCCTAAAGAATATATTACTAATTCAATTCAACTTGACATAAAAAAATGAGCACAATGTCACTTAAATAAAACATATAATGATATTGACAATTAATTCTTGTTAATGTTATGGATATTGATGTAATGGCTTGTTCAAGATACATTTATATAGCAGTTAATGAGATTAAAAGACTAAAATGTTTTATATAAAAGTCTAAAACATGGCAAAACCTTCAGCCCTATTGAATCAAACAGATTTTGATGTTCTAGAAATCACATGTATGCAATTTATAGCAGTTTACGAGATTAAAAAACAAATTTTTTTCCAAAAGTCTTAAACTGAACAAAAACCTTCAATCGGCCCCATTTAATTGGACACATTTTAATGATACAGAAGTGAGTTCTTGAAGTCACATGTCTGCAATAAGGTATACATGTTGTAAAGAAACTGCTAATTCAAGAATGTATATATTATATTTAGGCCGAGACATGTAATGTCAACATTAGAAGCAATAGTTAACGAGGCTACCAACATTCCTGTCTGCCTACCCAACGTAAATGCTCTCAAGGAAGCTTTACGTAAAGCCAAGGATTGGACCTCCAAAGTGGAGGCCATACAAAGTTCTGAGTCCTATCCTTACCTCGATGTTGTTGAGAGCTTGGTGAATAAAGGTCGGCCAATTCCGGTACGCCTAGATCAACTCCCGCAGGTAGAGTCGCAGGTGGCTGCAGCTAAGTCTTGGAGAGAGCGTACAGCAAGAACATTCCTAAAGAAAAACTCAACATACAGTCTCTTAGAGGTATGTTACTGCTGTTTTCTGATCAATGTTTCAACTAAAATTTAACGTAGATAGTAGTTTATAGTCCAAATTTATATTGACATACATGTACTTCTTTATTGTTATTAATAATTAAGAAGTGTAACAAATACAATATTTGAAGCTGTTATTTGTTAAAGCTATAAACCTATAAGTGATGATATCTTTACTTTGCTTATACTAGTATTATGGTATTATAGTCAATGTGTTAACTTTAGAAATAGAAGGTATAAAAGTTGGGATTTTAAAGTTGTAGCAATTCAAAATGAGTAACAAGTAATTTGTTATTGAATGCCATGGTGCAAAGACCACCCTTAAAAATTGTTTGTTGCTTTTGGTAGTAAATTTTGGTTAAGTCTGTAAATATAACAATAAAACACATGGCGAAAAACACTTCATATTGTCAGGATTCATATGAGCTGATCATAAACAGTAAGCAAACAGTATTTTATTTTAGGCTCTGACAGTTAAATATTGAATCATTTAAAAAAGGATTGTGTCAGCATTTCGCTATGAGAAAGTTATAAAAAAACAAACTTGTATTATTTTCAGGTATTGTCACCTCGGAGTGATATAGGTATATACAGCAGTGGTAAAAGGAAGAAGAGGTTGAAGGATCTAGAGAGGGTTCACTCGGACAACAGTATGAGTGACATAAAGATTGAAGAACAGAGAGATCCTGCTCTTATTGTAAGTTTTATCAATAAAACTCAAGTACTCTACATTCCCTAATAAACACTCCCAGGAGCATTACATTTTTCACAAGTTTTCTGTACAAAAAATGTAAAAATAGTGTCAAAATAGAAGAATGTTTACTGCTGTTTTGTTATTTTTGTGCTAGATTATTTATGCTGGAAGCTCCAGCTATATTAATATTTGCGCTAAATTACTTGGATTTATAAGAATCTGTTTTTGTCTAAGTACCCAAGTTGTGGGCATTTATTAAGGAATATACAATATTGTTGTTTGTTGAAATTAGTGTATCTGAGCTATACTTACCATAAATAATTTGCATATAAAGCCGGAAGAATAATTTCTTTAAGATTATATTCTTTTATGGTGGGAACTTAGTTTGTTCACTTTTTAGAACACTTGCTTTAGAATCAATATTGAATTTATTTTAATTTGTCAGCAAGCTTCTGTTATTTCAATTTTGAGTTTAAATTTAACAAATGGAAATAATAAAACTTGATAGACTAATTGGCTATGTGAATATTTTACAGTGCAGATTTCTCAAACAATTTATCATTACATTGAAATATATTATATAAATGTCTTTATAATATTAGTTATAAAGATTTTTGACAAGTTATATGGCCCTATATAAACAGTTGTATGGAAATATAACCCAAACTGATAGGCGAGGGCTATATTGCAAACAACCGTTTATATACGGCCATATAACCTCTCAAAAAATACTTTTAACGAATTGATAATACAGCAATTATCATTTTTAGCCAAAAAAGTAAAATTTCTTTATAAATGGACATCAGCCGTGTATATAAAACAATTTAAATGCCACGATTATCCAGTGAAAAGCGACGTTACAACCATAGTGTTATAATGATGATTTTACAGGTTGCGGCGTTTAAGATGGCGGAGGAGAAGGAAGCAGAGGCTATGATGGATCTACGTATACGTAACATGGAGAAGATACGACAAGACGGGGTAGATGCCAGGTTCTGTATCTGTAGGAAAGGTGCCTCGGGATTCATGTTACAATGTGAACTATGTAAAGACTGGTTCCATGGTATGTGTTACAAGTTTATACAAGCAATGCATATTATCATATGTCATACAAGTTTATAGCATTACATCTAATCATATGCCTTATATTTAAAAGTATTTCCTAAATTCACATGTCATGTATTATTTAAAAGCAGTGAGCTTCCAAATTCTTGTTAATTTGGATGAAAATCTATAGAAATTGTTCTCTTACTTTTATAAAATCAAGTGCTTTATAATCACAGATATTACCATAAAGTTTTAATATTCAGAACAAGCGTTGACTGTGTATGTAGCAGTCAAGAAATAAAGTGATAGAAATAGTTATTTCTGTCATATTTTGCATATTACATCCAAAATGTCACTTGGATTGTGAAGTTCATATATTTCTGAAACTATATTTCACTTAAGTTGGGCATTTTGAAAATTTGAAAACTTGTCTTTTGACTTGACACTTTAAAGCTACTTTATTGAATGCAAGAGTGTTAGTTACATGGAAATACTTTTTTTGTGAATATTTTATGAGAGACTTGACTTAAGGAAATTTGTAGTTAATGCATATCATTCATGATATAAGATTATGAATATAATTCTTTATTTACGTAAATTGTTTTATTTTGCAGGTACCTGTGTCCCATTGCCTAAGTCAGCAAACATCAAAAACAGATCTTCTCAGATGGCTGCAGTACAGGCAGCGAAAGATCTCAAGTTCCTCTGTCCACTGTGCTTACGTTCTCGTAGGCCTCGTTTAGAAACCATTCTATCTCTACTTGTGTCCTTACAAAAGTTACCAGTCCGTTTACCCGAGGGAGAAGCATTGCAGTGTTTGACCGAACGTGCGATGGCATGGCAGGATAGGGCACGTCAAGCATTGACGACGTCAGAACTTGCCTCAGCCCTTGCAAAATTGAGTGTACTTAGTCAGAAAATGGTTGAGCAAGCAGCTAGAGAAAAAACTGAGAAAATAATAAACGCTGAACTTATGAAAGCTGCTAATAATCCAGAACTGCAAGGTCATTTAGCCAGTGTTACACAAAATGCTTTCAGTGGAAACGGAAATGTACCACCTCGAGTGACAGATTCTGGAATTGGGATGGATTTGGAGAGCTCGTTACCAATGCCTCTGTCCCCACCAGTGGTGAATGAGGACTCTCAGGGTGGGGAGGAAGATTATCAGCTGGAGATTGAAGTGGTCAGTTCGGGAGAGAACAGCAATAGTAACCCTCCACCTGGAGGAATGTCGGAGCATGCATACTCGTCCATGTCCAAACTTAACCCTGGTAGGCCACATATTTGATATTACATTTTTAAGCCTTGAGCTAAATATTTGAATTTATTAATCTCTATAAAACATTCATAGTAACATGAAAAATTCAGATTTAATGTAAAAGTTTCAGATAGCTTTTTCAAAAATTAAAACATATAGTTATAATCATGTTTTCAATATTCAAATAAGTATTGGTATTTAATTTTACATTTACATTTGAAGTACTCTAGTTTCATTGGTTGTGTAATTTTAGAAAGTAAGGTTTAATTGTTATATTGCTCATTTTGATCGTTTAGGGGCTATGTCACCAAAAAAACAGCAGCGTAAGACACCATTGATACCACGTCAGTTAGAGAACCCCGTACTAGAGTTATCTGATCAGGCTAAAGTCCAGCTAGAGATTCTAATGATGGAGGGCGATCTTCTAGAGGTGTCACTAGACGAGACTCAACATATCTGGCGTATTCTTCAGGCCTGCCAGCCACGATCAGAGGATAACAGAGTTGTAGAATTTGATGTGAGTCATCTTTGTTTTTATGATACACAATTATAGGACATGGCAAAGATCTGCCGTAGAGGCAATTAAGGAATTTCTATAAGCTCAAGCTCTATCTTAGGTCGTTGATTGACAAATGACAATCCTGAGATTTGAGATAGATCTTTAAAAAAGTTGTATAACCTTGAGGCACAATCTAAAGTATAAAAACCTAAAAAGTTTCTTTGATAAATTTAACAAAATTTTTAATAAAGGTAATTTTGCAAAATGTGCGAATCAATGGAGAAAAGTGATTGTTTCTTTTTGTGGCGGATTTTCTACATGTGGTCTGTTATAATTTATTATGATGGTGAGCTTTAAGAAAAGTGTTTCCATATGCTATAGATAAATGCTTTGTCATATTTTTGTTGCTTTGTTCTTCTGGATGTTGCTTTTTTACACAGGTGAAGAAAAGACTAGTTAGTTACATGTTATGATTATAAATTTGTTTTGTTTGTATAATTCAGGACTATGATTCTACAAAGATTGGTTATGACGGTGAGAGAATCAAGATAAAGAAGGAAAAGGACCCTGAAAAGAGGAAGTACAAAAAGAGGAAGAGTCTTGAAGGTGGAGACCCACTTAAACCTAAGAAGGTCAAGGTCATTACAGTTGGATTGGATGGCGAAAAATTGAAGAAAAAGAAACTTAAGGTTATGAAGCCAAAGATAAAGAGGGAGTTTGATGAAAATGGAATGGGTAAGTTGTCATTAATATGTATCTGGTCAATAATAGAACTAATGAAGAGCAGCCATCACAAACTCACCTTAAATAGTTTTCCACCTAACAAACTTGTAAAATTATAATAACAAAAACTGGGGGTGGGGTAAAAAAGACTGGACTTTATTACAGTTTGTGAATTTTTTTTTGTTTTAAAAACTTTGGAAATACACGTAATTCCTAATACAGTAATTGATAAACCCTGGACCAATTTTCAAGGTTTAAACGTTTTACTGTCTATGTTGAATACTTTACATTAAATCAATAATTCTAAAATATTAACAGAATTTTTGTTTATTTACTTCATGCTGAAAATATTTATTAGTTCTGAATTTTTATTTTTTATTAGTTTTGATTAAGTTCTTTAGTTTTGATTATTTACTGCCAATGCTGAACAGTAACTGTATGTGATAAATCTGAACTAATTCTTTTAGAATTCCAAGACAAAAGTTTTATTCTTTGCTGCCCATGCTTAACTTAAATGATTATATAATAACTAAAAATATATACATTTTTTAGAATTCCAAGACATAATGACAGAAGAATTGACTGGACCACTAACCATTGACATTAAACCAGATAAACTGAAGAAACTTAAGGCAAAGATAGAGAAAGGGGAGAAACCCAGGAAGAAGAAGAAACTAAAAGTACAGGTAGGTCTTAATCAATAAGAAAGTTTGATAATTTGATAGGAAATGAATTGTTTCATATTAGACCAATGAGAAAACAGCTAGGAAGGTTTTCCTCCTCCAGCTTAGCTTGAAAGTTGACAGATGATCTCAAATATTGTTATAGCTTAAAAAGAAAAAAATGAAAAAGACTGTACTATGTATTATCCATGTGTAGCAACTGGATAGCCAGTCAACATAAAACTGTTGACACTGGAAAGGTCCATTGTGACAATTTTAGCCAAGACTTTGATATATATGCATAAATATATGTATTTGTACTTTAGCAGTTGAAAAGTGAAGATGGACAACCACTAGAGAAGAAGAAACGTAAGAAGAGAGTAAAGAAGGAGTTGATGATGGCTGATGATGATGATAGTGATGAAGATTGTGCTGCTAGGAAGTGTCTTAAACCTACTGGTATGTGATCTGCTCAAGTTTTTAAAGCTTTCTGTAATTGATCAGGTCAGCTAAAACTAGAAAGTATCTAATTCTGGTTTTGATTTAAAGAAGTTTTGATTTTAAGGAGTCTGTATTCTGCATGGGGATTTTGTTTACTGCAACGTTTTGGTTGACAACAGTATTTTTAATGCCAGCTTTTCTTAGTGACTGTTAAATTAATTGATACTTCACATTTTTCTACAGAATCATTATTTTCAATCACTTTTAAGGCTCATAACATAGTGTAAATTTTAAATGAATTTTAGCCTTTCCGTGAACAAATAAACTTCCTATAATGAATTTTGCTTTCAAGACATTCAAGATGAACAAGCTTAGACAGTATATAACAAAATTTTAATAAGACAATAATGTACATTGTAGACTGATAACTCTTACTCCAAAAAATTCATTGACAGGAAAATTATGTTATTAAAGCATTATAGACTAGAAATATTACCGATAAATTTTTTAATTTATAGGAGAAGTAAATTGGGTGCAGTGCGACAGATGCGAGGAATGGTTTCACTTGTTGTGTGTCGGTCTAGCCGAGGACGAGGTGTCGGAGGAAGAGGAATATGAATGTTTCTCATGTAAACAGGGGCGTGGTCAACAACCTGTCCTTGTCAGTAACCATGGTAAACAAAGTACCGTGTCACCATCTAAAGTCCCAGGAATGTTTAACTACAGTGGAATGTCTGTGATTAAAGGCGAACAAGACATGGACAATGTACTTGTCTGTAATGAGGAAGTTGAGGTGTCTATGGATACGTCGCAATCATCAAGTTACAACAGAGCGATTGAGACCTATCATAGTGCCCTGATAGCAGAAAAAGAGGAACAGGAAATGGCTACATCCTCTAAAATCACACAGTTCTCGTATGAGACCGATGAAAGTTCACAGGATGAAATGAAATCTTCGTTCTCTGTCAGTGCTGACTCAAATGAAGCTGTTGCCATGGCAACTCAAATAAGTGTCACAGGGGACGCATAGGGAGAATGGGTTTTTTGTTCATGTGAGCTGTTTATAAAGTTGTTGAAAGATAAGAAGGAAGATAAAATTGCTTAAACTGAAGAGCTTTGTCTTTGCTGGTAGCTGTCACTGTTATAACTGTTATAAAGATTCCAATTTGTGATTGGAGCATTGAGGGTATGAACGTTTTTTTGCTGGGAAAAAGAAAGCTTTGGGAGTTCCAGAAAAAGTGTGGTGCACATATTTGGTTTATATAAAGAGATAGTGCTTTAGATAACATTCTGTTTATAAAATGCCTGTCGTGTTACAGCTCTGTCGAAATAACGTTTCAGCAGCTGTCGTTTTTTTTTTCAATGTTATTGTAAAATCATGCTGAATTTTTTACATGTAAATTGATAAAGAACATTGTTGCACCGTGTACATAATACCTTTATATTGTGCTATGTTCTCTTTTTCTGTTGTAAGTCATTCTATGTTTAATATCCGTTTGATCAAGTAATGCTGTGTATGGAGGTACTAGAAGTTATACACTGTTTCCATAGCAACGGAAGGCACTACTACTGTTTCCATAGAAATAACTCGTGCAGAACCAATACTCTAAGATTTTCCAAGTTTACCATTTAGACTGTGGCTTTATGAGTAAGAAATCTGCCTTTCTATCAAAGAAATCTGTGTGATGCCCTACTGAAGTCGCTCTCGACCCAGGGATGTGTGTCTGGCTCAGCGGGGGTATTAACTACTTACTATACCTCGTAAGTGGCTAGTAATGATGAGTTTCAGGAAGCAGATAAGAGAATGTTTCTAATATCTTATATTTATAATGCTTAAACTAACATATAGAAATTCAGAGAAGCACTTGAAAATTGATATTATATCAAAGTCAGGAAATTACATAACATAGCAAAAAATTCATTCTTTTAGACATGTTTTAAAAATTAGTTTGAAACAAAATACAGGAGATTGATCATAAAGATATGTTAACGTGGGTTATAAAATTTTGTTTCAAATTAGCATTATGTTAAATGTTTTTCATTTTAATCTGTTCTCTTTAATCATGGATTAAAGATTGGTGTTTATTGCTTTGTACTAAATTGCTTGTTAAGTTATTTCATATTTTATTTGATACTGTTTTGATTTTCAGTTTTTTTTTGTATTAAAATTTATTTGATTTTGTTTTTTGAGAATATACATTTTCTTATTCATGGGAACGTTGGTTGTGCGGAAGTCTTTGTATATTCCAGGGAAAGAAACTTCTATTTTCAAGTGTTTTGATCATTAAAAAAATATAGCTAATGTAGAGATGCAACAATAAATGTTTTAATTGGTTTAGCTAGCTTACCTTTCATGATTTGGTTCAAATAGCATCAGGGGAGAGATTTTTTAAATATGTAACAAAGGAGTTCCAGTCAACCTTCAGACGATTGGTTGCTTTATCTGCCTAACGGTTCTTAAAAAAACGTCATTCTCCTTTACCCGCATGTGACTTCAGACCCACTAAATTTTCCTTACATATAGTAATGCATTGTAACTTTTTAAGTTTCTAGCACCCAGTTTTATCTTTAGCTAAAAAGTTTTACATTCCTTTAAAGCCATATACGTGTTTCTTTATCTGGAATATATGTGGACTTCTTAAGTTTGGAAGCGATTCTTTTTGTTTTACATTTGCAAATATTCCATTAAATGTGTATTATTATTTTACACATTTCAGTTAATGTGCTATATTGTGGATTGAATGTATAAATTAAATTTTGAATTAGAAATAAACATGTGTTTCCTAAATATACCATATAACTGGTAGTATTTTTCACTACGTGTTACCTGAATACAACATGATAAATTTTGTTGTCCGAGCATAATTTTCCTGTACGTTTTGTAATACTCACAAAACCATTTTTTCTTGTGTGTTTAGAACAATACCATGTCCGTAATTATTTCATCTGCGTTCATTTAAAATAATGTATAAACCGAACGTTATTCCTTCAATGCATGGTCATAATTATTTGTACACACATTTTGTTTAAAACATTTATCCTTTAGTTATGAATGAATAAGTCAATATAAACTATTCTCATAATGTTTAACAAAGCTTGTATAATTTGCTGCTATTATTTTGGATGGTATGTTTGTACATAATTTTGAAAACAAATATTTTGAAGGTATTTTGTCAAATTTGTCAATGGTAAATGTCCTAATAAACATTTTCTCAAATTTTGTCTTGTTTTATTCTTTCAAATGTCACAAAGTGACAAAGGTGAGCTTTTGTGATCGAAATTTGTCCAGTGTCTGACTGTCTGTTCGTAAACTTTTACTTTAAACAACATCTCCTCATAATCTGCTAAGCCAATTTTATCTAAACTTCTCAGGAATGTCCCTACTCTGGTTGCCATGCAAAGAAAAAAAAACTTTAAAAAATCTTTGAAAAAAACCAAATAGCTACAGCTTAGATATTTGGCATGAATCATCTAGTGACTGTCTACCAAGTTTTATCAAATAAAATCCCTGGGGTCAAAATTGGACCCTCTCAAGGGGATTATTGATTTTCCATGTATGTAGTAAAAACTTAAAAAATCCTCTTGAAAAAACCTAAGAGCTAGAGCTTAGATATTTAGCATGAAAGTTGAAACCACTCCTAGCGAGTATCTACCAAGTTTATTTAAATAAAAGCTCTGTGGTCAAAATTGCCCCGCCCCGGTAGGTCTTTTGGAACTGTTGTTTTCCCTTTGCAATAGCAACCATTAATGTTTTACACATGCACTATTTCAGATAAAAATATGAACTTTGTTATATCAGTAAAAGATTTAGATTTTATATCTGCTTTTGTTTATATTTTACAATATTACTCGTTCCTTGTCATGGAAAGTTTATACATTCAGGTGAGCAATTTCAAGGCCATCATTTGCAGGAGACTTAGTTCCTGTTGGTCAATTTGGGAATTTACAGGGGGACTCGGTTCCTGTTGGTCAATTTGGGAATTTACAGGGGGACTTAGTTCCTGTTGGTCAATTTGGGAATTTACAGGGGGACTCAGTTCCTGCACGGATCTTAATTACAAATTGTAATATAAATCCGTGGTTCCTGTTAGTCATTTTTGGAATTTAAAAAGGACTCAATTTTGGAATTTACATAGAACTAATGAATATTTGGTAATTAAAAACAGAACAAATCATTTCATGTTCGGATATAAACATAGACCAAATAACAATTTGTAAATTTACACTGTTTGGTACTTAACATATAACAAACTTTTATTTTGGCAATTTACAGCCAAGACATTTACTATTAGGTTATTCATCTGGACTACCTAATACTTTGGCATGGTATGTCAAATTCTACCAGGAATCAGAAACTATAACCACTATTTGATTATTTTGTCAGAGCTAGATACCCGACAGGCTATATATTAGGGTGTGATATTATCGTAGCCGACTGAACACAATAACGACCATTGAAACTGACTCGACGAGGGGAACTTTGTTGAGTACTAGTTTTTCCAGAAATCTGATATCCACAGTTTTACACTTGCATAAATAAACATACTAGAAGACTGAAGGAAGGCTGACTTTAATTAAAGAACAAGAACATTTACACGCACATAGCTGCTACCAATAAATATTTCAGTTATTGTTAAGTGATAAATATCTGTACGTAATAGGTGACAGATCAAGCAGCCCTGAAGAATTTCACTTTTACGATGGAGTTTGGCGTGGACGGAGAATTCTGTGCTAACTGTAAACGTTTCAGACCGAGTATTGGATCTAAAATGAAATAGAAAAATAGGTAAATTATTTTTTTCATGAATAATGTTGTAAATTAGATTTATATTTTTTTGTAAAAAAATCATGTTACATGTCTATTCTATGAAATAGTATACTGGTTGAATATGAGAAAATATTGTTAATAATCTATTATCCATATTGCACTCTCGTATAAGTATTTCTTCCTCAAAATTAGAACAGCTCTAATATAAGGACGTTTTATAGGGTTATTATATAGGAAGCGATTTTTTTTTAATTAACGGACAAATGATTACTATGGTGATAGTAAAATCATTATTCTTTTCAGGTAGTTTATTAGTTTGTACACGTTAAATACCTAATATGTCTTCTCCAGGTCCATGTATCAGTTGAAACTCGGTTCTTTGTGCCGTATGCTCAAAACATCCAAAGATAAAACGACCTGGTCCATATGGCGTCTTTCCAATCAAGAAATTAGCAAATATTTGATTGTAACTGTCAAGTGTAAGGGGATACCTTCCTCTCTGAAAAATTATTTCATTCTATTTTGAATAACATACACTCATGATTCATGTTCCTTTTGTAATTCATATTTTATTACCCATATAATACATAGAAATAGCGCGCATTTTCTCAATATAATATTGAATATTTTCTCAATACAATATAGTAAATCCCCTACAATACAAGACATATGCGGTGTTTATAATATATGCTTCAATAATGCCTTTATTCCATTGATAAATCTTCATGACTTTATTCTAATGATAAATTCCCATGACTTTATTTATGTGATGTAAATACAGTCATTGGAAATTATCATAATAATAAAGTCATAGAGATAAATCATATGAAAAGTCATGGAGATTTATCATATAATACAGACGTTGAGTAACCTAAACTCATGGAGATTTATTATAAAAGTTAGCATACGTCAGTCATCTGCTCCATGGCATAGGAAGCCAGTGACTTCACGTTTTCCTCGTGTATTCCCACAAACTTCACATAGAAATCTGCTAGTTCTTTCTCAGATATCTTTCCATCATCTAAAAAGAAACATTAACGATTAGACTAAAACTGATTATTTTGCTGTGGTTTACATGTACATGTATTTAAATAATCAATACTATTTCTATCGTGCATTATTTACTTTAAACGAAGACACAGACATTCCTAAAGACCAAGGGCACTTGCTAAATTCAAACATGTATAGTGCTGCCATTTACTTGCAAAATGTTTTTGATATACTTATGTCGCTGGTAAAGTAACATTTTAAAGTAAAACTAAGAAGTCAATTCAGAGTAAGCAGTTTTGATAACTTACGGTTCTTGTCAATAATCCGGAATAGAGATCTTGGAAGAAGGCGTAGCCAGACTGGAAAGTTAATCATCGACATGCAGCCTGGAATCAGCTTTTCCCACATTCTAAACCACTTGTCTAAACTTATTTTCTCTGGTTAAAATTGAAAATAAAATAGTACATTCCTTAAAGATATGGGTCAAACAAAGTACACATATTGTTAGCTCTTTCTTAAACTAATTCTCTTGTCTAATAAATTTTACTATTGTATTCTTTGTTTAAACTGATATCTGATCAAAATGAGGCTTAGTTAACGCCGATTTCAATACATGTCCCGGCAGTCGGTCAAGGTAACTAACTTTCTTTGATAAATAACCAGGAATTACCAATTATAATATCAAGTGTCCCAAACGAGGGACAAATGACCATTAGACTCGATGTCCGAAATTAACAATCACAAAAATTTCAACTAGCCCGAGGATTGTGCCGAGGATCGAATCAGGAACCTCTGGATTACAAATCCGATGTTCTCAATATTGAGTGACGGGATAGCAGCAAACGTACATGTTACAGTATCATATCATTTCTTAAAGAAACTAAATCAAAGCATTTTTATAAATAGAAAGATAAAGTACCATTTTTAGCTTTGTCCATTTTCTCGATTAGAGTTGAGAAGAAACACTCGTGTACTTCATAACATTCTCGAGCTTGAGGAGAGGATTCCGACCAACCAGTGAAGTCTTGAACTTTCTGTAGTGTAAACAGTTAGGTGTCAATGATGACAGTTTGAAAAAAGAAATTACATGTAATATTGCGATTGATAATAAGCCAAGTAAAGGAGAAGACGATAGTCTTGGTTTTGGTTCCAAATGTAATGTATCAACCATATTTTGATTGATTATAAGTCGATCTTTATGTCAATTGAATTTAATGTTATTTAAATACGTACCACATTAACTCATTACGGGAATATATATATTTTTACAGTTTATTGGTCTTAACATTTTCCTGGTTTAACATCCACGACTAATGAATAATAAATAATATGACTAATTTGGACATGTCTTCGGACAATAATGCCACGGAGAGGTCGAGCCATACTTTTTGTAGACTTATCAAATACTAAGTACTAGGAATTGCACAAATACAGGGCTCATTTTTGTTTGTTTGTTGTTGTTTTTTTAAAGTAAACTGTTACCTTCATAAATCCTTCAAGGTCACTTAGTTCCAGTTGTCCATTGCCATCCGAATCTAAGTTTTGAAATTTCATCAGGAAAAATAACAATTTTTCATGTATTAAGTCGCAGTTCAAAATTAAAACTGGTTCAAAAACTAAACTTAGATCAGTTGCTAAACTCTATAATAACGACTTGAAACGTATATATTAAAATAGATAAGATAATTCTGGTTCGAGAGCAATAAGGTCCTGTAAATTTGTAAATAAATATTGTGACCAAAAAAACTGAGTCATAGGGGACATGAACAAATCACATCATTCCATGTTCAAGTTCCCTATGACTCTCTCTGAATGGGTCGTTACGACATGATGCTTTTGTAATTGTCAATGGTTCTTGACCTCAAGACATGATGCTTTTGTAGTTGTCATTGGTTTTGGACCGAATCATAGTTGTCATTGGTTTTGGACTTACAAGACACGATGCTACTGTAGATGTAATTGGTTTTGGACTTACAAGACACGATGCTACTGTTGTTGTCATTGGTTTTGGACTTACAAGACATGATGCTACTGTAGTTGTCATTGGTTTTGGACTTACAAGACATGATGCTACTGTAGTTGTCATTGGTTTTGGACTTACACGACATGATGCTACTGTAGTTGTCATTGGTTTTTGACTGTCACGACACAATATGACAGTTGCAAATGGTTATGAGTCGTCACGACGTTATACTATTGTTGGAATAGGTTATGATCGTCACAACCAAATACTATATTTTGAATTGGTTATCGGTCGTCACGACATGCTTCCTTATTTTGAATTGGTTATCGGTCATCACAACATAATACTATAGTTGGAATCGGTAATGAGTTGTCTCTATTTTGTACAACATTTGCAAATAATAATGAGTCGTTATAAGTATAAAACTTAAATAAAAGCAAAAAGTCACACTGACCAAAGAAGTTGAAGTAGTATTCAAGTTTTTCTTTCTGGAACGGAGATAAGGACATCTTCCTGTAAATTCCCAATCTTTCTGACCAGCTGATCGACGGAAAATACCCTTTCAAAAAGATAAACATACTTTTTATTTCATATCCCGAAAGTAGAATAAGAAACGTATTTTTATTACAACACATTTAACCGAAGTGTTCGCTGATTAAAAGCATTTAGACACAAAGATCTGTAATTTTACTATCATAATTTATAAACAAAGCAACATACTCTATAGACCAGTGTAGACAGATATTGAAATAAAACAAAGCAATTAGATATACATTTTATGGAGTATAGAACAAATAATTTTAGTATTGATGGACATTTCAAAAAAGAAAAAGAGAAATAAAAAGAGATAAAGTACCTTTCTTCTGTGTGAAGTTTTCCTTGTTATCCAAGTATGTATTTTGTGTTCAAATGCTTACTGCTTCAAATGTTTACATATAAACTGAACGAAATTCTCGTGGTTTTCATTGAGACGCGATTACGGAACCGTGACAGCATAATGCACGTGCAACAACCTAGTGTTTGCATAAATACGGTAAACAGATGTTTAAATTGATGTGCATAAAACTTTGCAATATACTGTACTAAGTCTTCAGAATGTAGCACATTGAATGTAAATATTCTTATTGTTATCATTTTTGTTTTTGTTTATAATAGTCCTTAAAAACATAGACCTAGAAGTGTGTCGTTCATCATTTTACATTGTGAGCTTTGCTGTTATGTGAATTTTGGCCTACTTTCACTTTGGGCCCACTAAGTGAAAATAAACATGCCTGACAAAGCGGTATCACCTTAATTAAAATTCATCATTTAACCTGAAATGTTAAAATACATATGTATTGAGTTTAAAAACATCTGCAGCCGTGTTTATATGGCGCTTATTATAGGAAGTACATATACTATACATTATAATAATGATGATGATGATGATAATGTTGTTGCTGCTAAAGTTTTTAAATTTTTTGTTAGTGATGATGAAGCAAATTTAAAAGAGGAACAAATTTTGCAATTTCTAGTTAGCAATACTTCTTATTATGTGTCTTGTCATTGAAATAAATAGATGTATATTTATGTACCTTTAAATTATTATTATATCATCTGGCGAGATGAAATTACATAAAAAGCATGTTATTGGCGTACATAACAGCTGAGGAACATCAATGAAATAAATCGCTGCATCATGCGATAATGCAAAATCAAAGATAATGGACTTGAAGAATTGCTTGTATAAATGTGTTATTAATCCATTCCATGAACCGTTTTTTGAAGAGGATTCAACGCACACCACTCATTAGTGTTTGCCCAAACATTCCTAAACTGAATCTATAATGAATTAATTTTCATCGTTAAAATAATAAAATCTTTGTAACATTCTATTTCAATTATTTTTTATTTAACTGTGATTTCATTTACGTGTTTATGTATTATTTGACTTTGTAAACCACGCTGTTAAATAAATAAACAAATGATTAACCAAGGAAGTAAACGTAATTCAAATCAAATCGTATTAAATCAATCAAATTTATTCATCTCAGTACAGCATACATCATACAAACATGAGTTTTATATACTGTAATTATTGGTAAAACCAACACTACATAACATGTCTTTTACTACCACAATACACAAATAATTAGGCTAACCATGTATTGTTTAAAAGTTTCTTCTTTATCTCGATCAGTATGAAATGCAACATTTTGAATGTAACAATTCTGCAACATAATAGATATCTATGGTCAACAAATTAACTTTTATATTCAGCTGATATCAAATTATGTGACATGTCAATAGTAAAAATCCTTTCAAAATCATTGATGAAGTCAACAATAATCATTAAGTTACTATAAAAAAAATCTAACACATGTCTGCCCACGTGTATTGAAATATTTATATTCCTTTTTCATGTCATGGAATTGAAAGAGGTATGCAACATTTGCTTATTATAATTAAGCATAAGTCAAATTTACATTATTTTTTTATTGAATACTTTTATTGTATTATTTGGACCATATCCCTGCTTAGAACAACAACTGACATATAATTTGTGATTACTTTCACTGTATGTTACAGCCTTTGGATAGTAAAGGTTTATTTTCTCTAATCCTGTGATCTCACATTTCTTGAAGCTGCTCGACAATCTGACAATTTTGTGACTGCCGTAGAAACAAACTAACAACGTACCATCTTCTAACTCCTGTATTCCTCGAGGACCTTGACATCCTTGATCCTCGAAGCTTTGTACAACATTACCTTCCCAGTCTATCTTTAAACATTTGCTACTGTAGTAGAAGGAATCAGATACATACATAAGCTTCTCATCACTGCTGATAACAATCTTTTCAGGTCCATCAAACAATCCAGGAGTATCAAACACCTGTATCAGATTTCCGTCTAAACCCAGAATAACCAACTTCCCTGGATTATAATTACAACCCACTACTAGCTTGTTCTGATTATAAGCTACACAATAACACTCTTCTCCCACATCTATACGACGATCTAAAGACAAACTTGTATCAGTATAAGACATTATCTGGATACACTTTTCAATAGGTAATGCAACAGCAAGTTTATTTTGTGGAAGTTTTATAACATCGCGTGGTGCTGAAGACAGCGTCTTCTCTGACAACAACGATCCTGTGTTTACATCTATCGTTTTAATTTTTTTATTACCGTAATCAGCGATGACCATTTGTGTGGCAGAAACCATTACCATCCCAACGACATTGCTTTTTTCTTTATCAGAAGGAAAAGTCACGTTGTGCGATCTTTCATAATTCACACATATTTCAGTATCTTCTGATGATTTTCGGTATGTTGAAATTGTTCCAAATTTTTCCCCATTTTTCAGGCGATCAAGTAGATTTTGGTTCCGGTCAAATTGAATGGCGTCATATGTCATATTATCTTGGACAATCTGTATTTCTTCACTTTCCAGTGTCATCATACGTGGTGTGACGTTCTTCACAACAATAAAAAGCTTATTCTGCTTTTTTGCTTCCTTCAGGGCATTTAGAAATGACTGTGAACGTTTTACTTCCTCGGCTATTTTTTCACAAGCAACCTGGGTATTCTCGAGTTTGTAATTTGCTGTGTTAACAAGAGCTTCAGCTTCTTTTATCATCATCGATTCCATCTGATCTAAACGATCGTTTATTTCTTTTCTCAAGAGCCGTATATCTTCAACAACTTTTCCACGACTTTGTTCTAGTTGCTTTGTAGCAGCTGAAGCCTTCATAATATTATTTTCACATTTCTTGACTAAATCTTCCATCTTTTTGTTCAAATCTATCAACTCCCCAGATATGTAACCTGAAACATCAGGAATATAGTCAACTTTACATTGTTTGTGTTCAAGTGTAACACAGACATAACATGCCACAGTGTCGTGATTGTTACAATAGAACTCCAGTGGTTTATCCCTATGGTTGGTACAGTTGTCCGTAATTACTTCTGCATTTACGTCGTCAACTGGCATTTGTTGTGTTGGCATTGCGTCTTTATCAAGCAGTACGTGGTTTCTAGATAGCTTTGACCTTCTGTGATGTTGAAAGCAACTTTTGCAAAGATGTTCTTGGCAGTCTTGACAAAATCCGTAAGCTGGCTCCTTTAATCCATCTGTATCACACGTAATACAGTAGAGGTTAAAGTTCGTCTTTGATGTCGAAGTTACCTTTCCAGATACCTCCATTTTCTTAAAAATGAAAAATTCTAATCAATTTTCCGCCGACGACATATCAAAGTTCTGAACAATATGAAATAAATATATATTATTTTATATATTCCTGGGAAATAAATATGTTTAAACATTTATGACTAACATTAACTACACCGTAACTGCTGTTTGTGCCTGTGTTCCTGTGTAATCTAATATCTCCATATGCATTTCTCAATGCGATCTTGAAAGAATTCAGTTTGCAAGCTTAAACACGTCACATATTTATCAACTAGTGTCATGTTTATTATTTAGTTTAACATATAGCTTTTCATCTTGGATATTTCATTGAACTTTTACTGTAAACGTTAATTTAGTATTAATTAAATAAACCATTTTAAGTAAGGTTAAGGGTTTTATTCTGTGTTTTATGAAAACATAGAGAAGTCACGTGATCCGATTTATTTCACTTTATCTCATATATAGCTTATCTTAAAATTAAAATATGCTCGTATAACTATTTAACCTCACTAGTAGTAAACTCATCGTGCTTAAACATATACATTTTGCAATATTAAATTGAAAAGCTTTAGAAAATCCTCACCTTTTTTAAGTCCGTTTCAACCCGAACCTTGGAACGCGGAAGTTTAAATTCTAGTTCGCAGGGGGCGTAATGTTTGTCTTTCAGATATGAACACAGTGACATTATCTCCCTTGAAAGCAAATTTAGATAATATATCCTTTTAAGTACAATGTTTCATAAAAAACTGCTGTTCATGTTAAAAATAAACATGTTTTGTAATGTTTACAAAAAGATTAATTAAAACAAAGTGTGTCAAAAAGATTAATTAAAACAAAGTGTGTCATCATTTAAATTATAAATAATAACACATTACATGTACTTCATATAGACGTCTTTTCACCACCCCCTTGAGGCCCCCTTGCGTTTGCGTTTGTTTACCCTCGCCACCGCATTGGCCTCAAATAGTGGAAAAAAACCTATTTAGACCCCAAACACTTGTAAAAAAGTGATCAGTTTGTCGGCGCCAACCCCTATCAAATAGATAAAAGGGGTGCAAGAGCTTCTGCTTGGGGGGTTTGAAGGGGGGTTTTCTGACCCCCTCATCTACACGAAAAAACTCGAAGATAGTGATTTTTGGTAATTTTGAAACTTCCCATCGTTGCCATAGTAACAGGACATAAGATTGAGTATGCCGTTACAAAGGCTATGGTCCAGTCAACATTTGTGCCAAGTTTGAACAGTTTTGAAGTCTTTTTTATAGTTTCATAGCAATTTGAACTTGTAACAGGGCTTTTCAATGAAAACAGTCATTTTTCACAAAATGCTCATGAAGTAATTGGTTAAGGAACATTAATATGTACATAATATACATGCCTGTCATTGAAACTTTGACATACAATTTAATTGTATGCAATGAAATATAAATAAAAGAAATAAATAAATCAAAAGTTTATTTACACATTCAGATACATAGATAACATATCTACATCTCCGATACATTTAAGAATTTTGACAAACATATACTATGTACCCTGTTATGGGTATTCAATATTCATCCATGCTTAAACTCTATAAATAATCTATTACTAAATCAAAGAAGCTAAATGGACTTTTTTATGCAAGATCCACGATTTGAATAGAATAGAATAGTTTATTTCCAATTAATGGGTCACATTCATGACATATAAATCAACATCTACATAATGGGCAAATAAATATTTCACATAAAATAAGTGTATTAAAGTCAATAAAGCTTGATTCTGATTATTTTGAAAACAATTAACTAAAGATGACATGTATAAGACTAACTCTTGGTAAAGTTAT